CTGTTCAAAGTTAAATCATGAAATATCAAAGAAATAACTTTGTTCTCCACTGACTAATAAATATAATATAATAATATTTGGACATCTAACACACAACGCCATCTAGTTTCAAACTAAGCAGAGCTTGTACTATGAAAGCTAGATTGACTGAAAGAATACTTATATACTTTTTTTTTGTAAATACATATATATATTACATAGAAAACACCCAAACTCTGAAACAAATATTTGTAGATCATACAAACATTTGGTCCGACCCGGGAATCGAACCCGAGACTTCAGCACAGCAGTCGCCTACGCTACCACTGCGCCACCGAGGCAGGTGATCTATTTAAATACACACACATATACTCCTCTCGTGTATTTGACTGCCTCGGCGGTGCAGTGGTAGCGTATACGACTGCTGAAATGAGGTCTCGAGTTCGAGTCGGACCAAATAGTTGTCTGATGTGCAAGTATTTACAAAAAAAATGTATAAAAGTATTCTATCGAACAATCCAGCTTTCATAGTACAAGCTCTGTTAAGTTTGAAACTAGATGGCGTTGTGTGTCAGATGTCGGAAATATTATTATATGATACCTCATAAAAAAAAACGGTTTTGTTGGTGGTTGAATTCATCTTTTCAAAAAGTACCTGCAAATAATTACGTCGAGTTAGTTCGCACCTCAAACACGCTTTAACCATTTCTAACAATCCATTCATAAAATAATATCCCTTAAGTTATATTGCCCCTTCTCCTTCTCCAACTCTCCCCTTGTAATTATGTATAGGTATATACAGGACTGGATGACGTAATAGGCCGCTTATGTTTCGAGTAGGTTGCATTTGCCTCAGTCACAGCCGGTGACTGTCAGCCTGTCTCCACGGCCAGTGATCGCGTTAATACCTGTCCGTATACGCAAATATTGTTTAAGAATATCTGTATTTATTTACAATACATGACACAAACATTATATTACGTAATGCCCCGACAGTTCTGTCAAAGCTATTGGCCTGTCGCAGTCAAATAAAAAAAACAGTAACTCAAAAGTATTTCAGAGTTATCACTTTTCTTTGAACTTTATTTTGGGTAGGCATATATTAATATTCATACAGCCTAATTAAATTGAAGGCATACCAAAGTTAATCCTAAAGCGCAGCTATTTTTTTTAAATGTTTGTATAGGAAAAGAAAAGAGTTATTTTACAATTTTCCTTGCAATTTTTAATTTTTTTGTGTCCATAAGAACCTTCCTTGTGCCTTAACAAAAATATGAAAAAAAGAATTAGCCGCATTGGTCGAGCTGTTCTCGAGTTTAGCGCTTATGGCTGTGCCTTAACGAAAATATGAAAAAAAGAATTAGCCGCATTGGTCGAGCTGTTCTCGAGTTTAGCGCTTATGGCTAAGCGCTAAACTCGAGAACAGCATACATTTGGCGATTCATTTCCATTTATTTAAATTAAACGTCATAAAACGCAAAAGTTTAAGAGTTAGCATATCTGTCTCTTACATCACATGCCCAATTTTCTCATCGTAAATGCCTAAATTGCCCACATCACATCAACACTTTACACAGCCTTTACTATCCACTGCGGGACATAGGCCTCTTCTTGAAAATGACGTTTTGGCTTACTATACCACGCTGGCCAGACGGGTTGGTATAGGATTTGTGACAAGCTTTGTGACAAGTGACAAGGAAAACTTGACACAAATCCACCAACTAAGGAAGCAAACTACGCAGAACAACAGCACTCTGTTATCCTGCGTAGTTTGGTCCCTTAGTCGGCTCTTACGACACCCACGGAATAAATAGGGGTGGTGACACTCCGTATTCTTAATCCATCACCACACAGATAGAACCCAGTTGACAGCAATAGTTACCTCCTATTATCTGAGTGAAACTACATTACATTTGAAAAAATGTGATCGTTTAATATTGTGACAAAGGGGTCTTTGGGGATTACATAAATAAAATGCAATCCCCGAATGTAACGAAATGCATTGGCAAAGCAAGTCAGTAAGTTTAGTTGCAACCTGACCTCAGGATCAACAAAAGATAGCTATAATATTGTAATGTGTAAGCCGCGAGCTATGTGAACTGGAACGAGGCAATGTCACGATGGTTTTAAATGTTTCTCATATGTAATACTATGAGAATTTAGACAATTCGTGTATGCTGACTAGTTCTTATATTATTATATATGTAGAACAGGGTCATTAACTATACGACAGCTAAAAGGCGACTACACTTTTATTTTTTACAAGCTTTTATTTAACTTGCTACGTATGTATATACGTATGTGTGTAAAATGTGTGTGTAAATTTGAAGTGTCTCTTTGTAATGTCAAAATAATAGGTTTTTTCATGCTCACACCGTTATTTGCACAATACCTATACCTAAAACCAGATCAAATATTTTGTTTGTCTGTTTGTTCCGGGTAATCTTCAAAACGGTTGCACCGATTTCAATATTATTTTACTACCAGGTAGCTGTCTAATACAAGGAGTAACTTAGGTTATTTTTTCTCTCAGAAAAAAACCTATAAAATTTTGCCCGGTCCGGGAATCGAACCCACTAAGACAGCGCTTTCCAATTCCACGCGAACAAAGTAATCAAATAAGCTTACAATATTTTTCTTTTTTTCTTCGGGTCTTACTGACTTAGACGATAGTTTCAAAAAAACGGTGCAGAACTTTTTGAGATTTTGAAGCTATATGTGTATTTATAGATAAAAAAGTAGAAAGATAAAATGGAACGGCCAGATTTAACCAATATTAAATACTTAAAAATATATTATTGCTGAAAATATATTCACGTTAAAAAATAATTAATTACTTTTTTAATTAAAAAATACGAGTAACCTACTTTTACTGTGGGGTAAGTTTCATAATTAAAAGTTTTTGCAGTAATAATATTTAATAAATATAATTAATGAGATCACGCGCTGATTATTTGTATTCATATCGAAATACCAAGGAAGGCGTGCGCTCGAACTAAGTGCTTATAATTCCCAACCCATTCCCTCCCTTCCCTTCCCTTTTCATCTACTTTTCCTTTTAAAATACTCCGAATTTGCCCATCTAAACCCTAAATTGCCCTGTTGACGGCAATAAACTTGCCCTATAACGTAAACGGGACTAAAATTCACAAACATCATCGTCAACAGCCCATAATTATCCACTGCTGCATATAGGCCTCTCCTTAGAAAGGAGGTTTTGGCCTACTATATCACGCTGGCCAGACGGGTTGGTAAAGGTTTTGTGTAAAGTTTTCATTATCTTTGTAGTGCTGCTGTCCCGTGTAGTTTGCTTCCTTAGTCGGCTTTTACGACACCCAAGGAATGAATAGGAATGATGACACTCCGTATTTTTAATCCGTCACTACACGGATAAGGACTAAAATGAAACCTTTCCACTAATCACAGTACAATATCTGTTCAACACTCCTCTGCCTACCCCAACAAGGATATAGGCGTGAGTGTATGTATGCTGTGGGCGCGTAATTGGCCAACGGCCCTAAAAGAGTAGACCATTGCTAAATTCGTGCGCATGATAAGATAAAAATCAATACAATTCTTTATAAGGCGTCTACAATTATAACGTCATGATGCAAGTACTGTAATTTGAGAAAAGCAACACGCTAGTCTTACGATTCGATGTATCGATGTAATCGATATACAAAGGTTATCGGTACTCTGTGGTAATCGATTTGTCTCGAGATAATCGCTAACGGTAATTGCATGAAGTAGTTCCCATGCAATTACCGTTATACTATAGTAGTCCTAGAAACCATTCGTAATATCTTTTTAAAACATACTTTAGAAATTAAGTGGTAACCTAGTAGGTCGCTCCGTTCCGCGTAAAACATCGAAGTTCAACCGTATCGTAGCAGATTTAAAGTTGACCCGAAGTCCAGAAAGGAAGACATTCTCAATTCGACAGATTTTTGTTTGTGTATGTCACGCTTATGTTTTTGCTACTTGAGGAACGTTAAAAAAATTAATGTTATGAAATTGATTGTAATTAATGTTCTCCCTTTTAAATAATGATAATAGCTTCATATCACACATGGCCGGCATCATCAGCATCACATACCGCCTTTTTTTTTTTAACGGGATGGAAGATCCTCATGGATGTCCTTCGCCCAGGCGATGGCGAAGGGGTCTGTCGGACTCTTACCGACTAAAAACCACCTCGGTGTACCTCTCCTTGCCAATGGCCGGAGGAGCGAAAATCGCAACTGCATTCTTCCCTCACCCCCGACAGGCATTAACCTATCTTACTCAAGACGGGTCTCGTCACCGTTGCGACCGTCACCCTTCGGTCGCAGTCCTCTAGAAGCGCCCACGAAACACAGTGCGCTGCCTTTCGGGCCTGTATCTGTTCGGACGACGAATTAGACCAACTAACCATTTATTATTAAAATTATCATGTTCAACCCATTTTATATACCTGAGTTTTCCTCGAATTAATGAACGGCCAAGATTAACCTTCAATGGTGACTTTTTGTAAAAAAAAGGTGGTTTTACCCACTCTTATTATATTTTGTCCATAAATAGTAGAATGTCGTCAGGACCTGAGTAATCGGAGACATAATTAAGTAACCGGTAGTGTTGCGAGTGGGCCGCGTAGGTGACTACTTTCTTAAAGTGCAAGGTGACTGCACTAGTTACTAGTGCTGTGAATATATATCGATAATTTATTAAGGGAAATTATCACAGTTAATATTTACTGTATGGCATTTCTAACTGGTCTTGAGAAAAGCCGTTCAGCAGTGGGCGTCTTGTGGGTTAAATAATGATGTTTATTTTATCGACGTTAAATTACATCGACATCAACAAACAGTAATATATTGACGTACGATAAATACGACTTTACCTATTAGTTATAATATCTCTAAAGATGAAAGTACAGACAAATGGAATCTTGTTCATGATGTTTTTTTTTTTAAATTAATCAAGAACGTGTATGCGAAATTGTATTATGGTTATTTGATCGGTTATACTCGCGACCGGGCCGGATGGGAGAAGCTTGCAGGTTTCTGCGGGACAGGACTTGGATAGCTGGGGCTTCGATTCGGATCGAGCGAGCTTTGAAATCACCTGGTCCGGATCCTCCCATCCATAGAACATCTGAACCAGTCGTTCATGGTAGTTTTCAGGTACTCCTGCATCGCCGCACCTTCAAAAAAAAACTGAAATATGTTACAAAAAAGAACAAACTATAGTTGCGTAAATAATATAATCTAAGATTATCATTCCCGTAGGCCTTGGCTTCACCGTCAAGTCCGAACACAAAAGTGACCTTGAAGTTGTTAGGGTAAAGAATAAAAAATATAATTTAATCGACAAACACAAAATTCTTCGTTTAACATCCCTACGTGCTGTGTGATCAGGTGACCTGTGATTTCACGAGCCGTGACCGGAGCCTGTCGAGTGAATACATTTCAATATATGGTCATGTGGTATTGGTTTATTTCACCTTCGACGAATTGTACATGTTGTATAGGACATAATAATTGTAATTGTAGAGCATTTGACTGCCACATCGCGGGTTAAATTAGCTCGAGCGCAAAGGTTTATTTAATTAATTAATATGTGTATGTATTATATGTATATTTGTATTGGTGTGGCTGTTTTATGAGACACAATTGTGTGATGAGCATAATCATTTGTTTTATTTGCTTGTGTCATTTATCCGTAATTTATGTTTGTATTTAGTTACGAATGAGAATGTTCATCAGCTGTTCATCACCAGGGTTTCCAGCCTGAAATAGGAGGGACCTGGGAACTGCTGTTATTAAGACATTCGGACTTGTTTACTATAGTACAGGCTCTGCCTAGTTTGGGATCAGATGGTTGTGTGCGAGATGTGTGAGGTTATTATTATAATCCATAAGTAGTTTTATCAGCTGTTTGGTTACCATAGTACAGGGCTTGCTTAGCATCAGTAGGCCATGTGTCAAGGCCAAAAAACAGGAAAGGAGAAAATATTAATTGTTTTTATCAAGAAAATGTTAAAAAGCATGCGTTTCACCACAAGGAAAGGACTGGTTTATGACATGCGTACGCGCATGTATCTGGGAATCGCACAATGACGTGTCCCGCGCATGCGTGTAACAACTGTCCACGATATGTCAAGGTATCAGCCAGTTGTTGTATGCTATTACTTATATGACTCTATAATGATTTATTGTTACTGACCTTCACAATATTATTTGTTTTATTATATGAATGTGATATCTTAACTGATATAATCGACTTATGTGAAAGTATCTTTTTCACTTCAAAAAGTACCCAACTTTTTGAAGTGAAAACTTCTTTAGTTGCGTTGGGCATTTTTGAACAACAAACAAATTTTTATGTATATATATATATATATATATATATATATATATACATAAAAGATTTCCACGTATCTCATCACGATATCTCTGGAATCATAAGTACGTTGGCGCCTTTGTGTATGACCCCCCAGCCTTCCCCACTTTACAATACCATCTGGTTTTCGTAGAATTTCTTTCATACAAATTCTCATTCTAATCCTCTTTGTGTTTAAAAGTTACCTATTTCTTTAGACCTCATAGATCTCTATACCGAAAGCCATCAAAACTGGTTTAGCTGTTTAGGTGTAAAAACATAACAAAGAGACAGACAGAGTTACTTTCTGATTTATAATACTAACGTTTGCCCGCGGCCTTGATACTCGTAGCGTTAATGTCGATGAATTTAGCGGGATAAATGGTAGGCCGTGTGCTATTTCAGATTATAAACTATCATCTTAATCCGTCACCACACGGATAGATCCCAAATTTCATACACATTTGTTCAGCCGTTCTGGCGTAATCGACTAACAAACATCTAACCAAACTTTGGCATTTCACCGCCTTCTAATCCCAATGTAGGCAGAGACTGCACTTCGGTAACAAGACCGCTGATAAACATATATAAATATATATATATATGTTCCTAAATACATAGGGGGAAGTCCCCTAGTGCCGGACACATAAGGTTTTCAGGAAATAAAATTAAAACTACATAGAGAAATATGTATTTATTTATGAATTACTTTAATTAACAAAACATAAAATCAAAATCAAATAACAAAAATACAAATTCTGCGTAAACATAGTTTAGGAGTGTTAAATAAGTTTTGGTAAAAAAATAAAGGACTTTGACATTGGCACCTAGTGCCGGACGGGTTAATCTTCAAACCCCAAGCGCCGGACATTCTAAAACTTTTAGCATCTATCACATATGTAGGCATCTCCACATTCTGGAACGTCTGCACATGCTTCATGAGCCCATTATTGGCATCTGGAGCATTGTATCCAGTCCTCGTCGTGGTCTTCTAAACACACTACACAAGTCGTTTTTTCTATATTTGATACTTCAGTTAACGGCTCCTTTTTGTTGTCGTTATTGCCACGTTTGGTTTGTTTACTCATGGGGAATCTTCATAGCTTCAGCCAAGTCGTAAGCTAACTTCAAAAACTCGTTTTTCATCAGGGGCAGACATCTATTAGACAAATCTCTTATGTGGTCCACTAAAACTTGCTCATACTCGGGTGAGAAGGTTTTTGTGAATCTACCAACTTTTGGTTGCAACGTGACTTCTTTTCCACTGCTCAATGTCGTTATTTTATCATGTGGAGTACTTTTTGGAACATTTTAAAGTGACGAAGCTGCCCTCAAACTCATTTTTTTGGACAAAATCTTGTTCATCGCAGTTTTTAAACTTTGCTGATTCCATTTTCCTTTTTTTTTCTCTCTTGCATTTTTAAATATCTCTCTCCTTCTATCCTGTAAAACAACAAACAATCATCATTACAATAAGTACAAATGCTTCATAAAAAAGCTAACCTATAAACTGTCCGGTGGTAAGGGACACCTTTGTGTCCGAAAGTAGGGGACAGGAAACGGCCAAAATTACGTATTTCATACTAAAACTGTTTAGGTATTTAATAAAAACTTTCACAATATAATAATTATAGTGAAACACTGTCTTTATCAACAAATAACAAAAACAATTAAGGATAAACCATAGCAGTAATACTTACTTGAAATTTACGTGACGCAACGCTTTCCCACCAAAAACAGCAATTCACGGCTTCCACCACGACTGTGATCCTGTCTCGCTACGTTCCCCCGCACCCCTTTCACCGATTTATAAATAGATCGCGTTGACGTTTGTCAAAATAGTATGAGTGTCCGGCGCTAGGTGCCGTCCGGCGCTACGGGACTTCCCCCTACATATTATAGACTAGCTGAGACCCGCGGTGTTACCCGCGTTTGTTGTTATAACCGCGGGCAACGCTGCGGGGCGAAGCTAGTCTAAAAAAAGTAGCCTAAGTTACTCCTTATGTCATCAGCTATCTGCCAGTGAAAGTCCCGTCGAAATCGGTTCAGCCGTTCCAGAGATTACCTGGAACAAATAGACAGACAGACAGACAGACAGACAGACAAAAATTGTAAAAAATGCTATTTTGGCATATGTACCGTGTAAACATACATATGCATTTAGTAAAAAGCGGTTATTTTAATATTACAAACAGACACTCCAATTTTATTTATTTGTATCGATTTAGTAAAAAGCGGGTATTTTAATATTACAAACAGACACTCCAATTTTATTTATTTGTATAGATGAATTACATCCATACATGGAACAAATGATCGTGCTCATCACACAATTATTTGTCCTGGGTATGAATCGAACCCACAACCTCTGGCTTAGCAGTCAGAATCACTAACCACTAAACCAATTGGCAAGTCAATTTATATGGAATATATTCAATTATTTCCTTATTAGTTTCTCAGCTTTGTTATATAATAATTATTATTAATATATGACGTGTTCGTCACACGTCATATTCCGTGTTATTTTACGTATCGACGTGTTCCGGTTAATAATTACTCACGGAAATACATATTTGGGATATAATAATTAATATAAGTGGCGATAGCCGATAAGACCAAAACATCATTAACAACTTCCTATGAATATGGACAATACTCTTAGACTAGCCTGTCGGTCTAATAGTTAGTAATGCTATCTGCTAAACCAAAGATTGTAGGTTCGATACACATCCAGGAGAAATAATCGTCTAATTAGGATGATAATTTATATTTGATAATATGATAATTAATATTTATAAAGATATTTATATGTATATATATATATACTTATAATGTATGTGTATGATGGGATGTGTTGTATATGTGTATATGTATGTAGTGAACCGTGTATATTTTTATATATTACATGTCATAATAGGTAATCTCTGTGCACCTACCTTATATGATTTCTACACCACCCAAAGGTTGACTGGAAGAGAATGCCTTGGGCATTAAGTCCGCCGATGTACAAAAGTGCATGAAGTTTGAAATAAAATAATTTGTTCTGTCAGGGTGTAATTCAGTCGTAATATATACGAGTATGTATGCATTTAGAAACAGTACTGATCTGGATGAAAGTATTTTCTTTTTGGAAATTTCCTAAAAATGAAACTTAGCTAGATCGATTAATCGCCCCCGAAACAACCTGCATGCAAAATATCATGAAAATCGTTTTAGCCGTTTCCGAAATTTAGATTATATATATACAAGAATTGCTCGTTTAAAGGTATTAGATTTAGAGTTTTAGGCCCGTATTTTAAAAGACGTCTCAAGTGTCGGTTGAACTCTGATTGCCTGAAACTAGTTTTAAGTGCAGATCAAATCTTAAGTATCGATCTTATTATAGAACGCGTTTTAAGTTTTACTCAGTTGAAACTAGTTTCAAGTATTGATTTGAACTTACAGTCTGTTCTCAATTACGTTTCCGCGTGATTGACACTATTATTCCACATTACGCAGCTAATTATTTAAAAAAATAATTTTCTTTTACAAAAATAATTTCTGTGAATTTGTATATAATATACTATTGCCTAGTGTAGCAATGTTAACATATTAACAAGGTTGTTGTTCGTTCAAAATTAAGTATAATAAATATTAAAATAAAAATGACTAGCTGTATGAATAGGCTATAACGGAACGTTCAAGTTATTTATCAACACTTGTCATGTGGAAATGTCAAACGATGTTTTTATTTGATATTTCAAAAGGTTGTGGTAATTTAAACTGGTATTGTGTGTGTAAAATGTGAATTTTGGTGAATTTCATATCAATTAAGGTAAATGAAAGTGAAATTGATGATAGTATGCCAAGTAATTCTTTCGTAAATAAAGTAAAGTAAATCTTTCGTAATTATTCAAAAAGAAATCATCGTAAAACACATTCATTTCCCCTAAATGCCCTAGAAATCACCGCTTGAGACTAGTTTCAGCTTGTCTCACGTAAACAAAGATCACAGCTGTCAAAATCTATACCTGAGTAATGATTTCGACATAAACATCGTTCTAAAATAAGCTATCACTCACTTGAGTATGGATCGGTGAATCTCGTTTTAAGTGACGTTCAATAATAAAATCTCTACTTAAAATTAGTTTTAAGACTAGATTCACGACTGAGACACCTTTTAAAATACGGGCCTGAGAGTTGTGGGATCGAAAGTTGATCGTAACCAAATTGTGATCGAACTTTTATTACGAGAATTGGCCTTCAGAGTACTGATAAATGCACCTATATGTTTATAAATACCTATCTAATATCTTTAGACCGTACCGTACCGTTACCGTGGATCGGAACTGAATTTTGACCGAACTTTTATTACGAGAATTGGCCTTTGGATTACCGTAGTACAGGCTCTGCCTAGCTTTGGATCAGACGGCCGTCAAATCAAATCAAATCAAATCAAATTGTTTATTTGCGTATTACAGGTTATACAAAGATCTTATATACTAGTTTTGGCCTCTGTATACTACCCTTTCAGGTGTGCAAATATTTCATAAAAATTAATAAACTAAACTAAACACAACAAATATGTATTGAATTGTCATATATTAATAAATAAAAAATAAAAAAACTCTTAATCCCAAATACATCACTACATCAGTACCTGAGCAAAATCGCAGAATTTTTAAATTATGTCAGATCAATAATCCAGTATTATCTAAATGTACATTTATATATCAATTTTCAGTGAATCAGTAACAAATACTAGTCACAATCATTGAACAAACAATTGCAAATGTCATTAAATAATGTCTAAGAGGAAGTCATTTATGCTGTAGTACGTTTTTTCAATCAGAAACGCTTTTAGATCACGTTTAAATTTACATATGTCACATATTTGACGAATATTTTTTGGGAGCTTGTTAAATATACTAGGAGCCATACCGAGGATATTTTTATTAAAAAGCTCACTTGTGTGGGGCGTTGCGTGGATTCTATCACGTTGTCTTTGGCTTTTTAGGGATTGAAAATATTCTGGATGCAATTTAACAAAAACTGCCAACTCAAAAATGTACAGTGACGGAAAAGTCAAAATCTTCAGTTCCTTGAAGCGAGGTCTACAACTGTCCGGCAACCTTAAACCACATACGGCTCTAACGCATTGTTTTTGTGCTCGAAACGCATCGTCTCTCTTAACTGAGTTTCCCCAAAAAATGATTCCGTACCGTAGTGTAGCCGTGTGTGAGATATATAAGGCATGACTTAGGATTCAAGAAAATACTATTGTAGACTCAAACGCAATGACATTAAACCCGCAGACAAAGCGAGTATGTCGCAACCCGCAGGCCGCGTACGTACTCGTAGCCGTTGGACCATGCTGCGTGGTTCCTACATGGCGCAATAGATAACGCATTCTTACAAACATGCTTATTTACTGTCTCGGTTGGAATCTGAACTTATCCATGCCGATATTATATAAATAAAGACTTTTTTTGTTAAGTTAAAACGTGCTAATCTCAGGAACTACTGGTTCGAATCGTTTTAGTGTTGTATAGCGCTTTTATCGAAGAAGACTGTGAGCTATAACATCACCTACGACCAATAAGAGCGCCTATTAGTTGTAGCATATCACATTTTTTTTTACTTTGGAATGTTTTATTTAAGTGCATCATCGTCATCATCATCAACAGCCTTTACTAGTCCACTGCTGGACATAGGCCTCTCCTTAGAAAGGAGGTTTAAGTGCACTACACTTCATCACCATCATCAGCCTATCGCAGTCCACTGCTGGAAAATAATATTGTTATTTAATTTGAAATTTCCTATCCTTTACAATGCAATGGTTGAAATGATTATGGTTATTAGAATAAACAGCACTACACTTAAACACATACTTAAATACATAATTTAACTACACTACACATAAACACAATATTAATTTGTCTATCATTAATAATACCATATACTACAAGTCACATATATCACTGCTATACGTGTATTTAATCACATTCAGAAATAGTTAAAAAAAGTGGTGAGCAAATAATGTGTTTCATAGTCTGAGAGAATTCTTGGAGTCTCAAATAGTGTAGCCGTATCATTTAATATTGTTATTTAATTTGATTTCACATAAATTGCAACACTTGACCTGGGTAACTGTTGATCCTGACACAATGTTGTTAAAATATGTACAAATATACACACATATGTTAAAACACCCTTATTTGTAAAAAGTTTTTTTTTGTTCCCGCACAAGTAATAAATCTTGTGTCGCGGGGGACTTTACAAACACACATGAAGCGGACACAAAGTATACCTACCCAGACTCAGAACAAAAAAGCCGTGTGGTGTCGTGGGACACCCGATAGGAACGAAGTTGTGACGATCGAGTAAAACTGATTCGACACGCTTTTAATTACAACGCCATCTATGAAAGCGGCTATTACCTACATATTTTTCAGTTGGTTTCTAATTAAAACAATTTATACATTGGTAAAATCTCCTTGAGAAATTATGTCGAATACAATATTTTTTGCTCAACCTAAGAACATAAATTTTAATTTTACTAAGATGAAAAGTAATGATTTCCTATCTATTCGATAGATGGCGCTGAATGACTGACAAGTGACAATTCAAAATAAAACGTGTCGTTACAACTTTTCGTGAGATTTTTTTCCGTCTAGCCCGCGCTTCACAACGCGCGATAAGGAACTTCGTTCCAAAAATTTGTGGAACACACAAAGTGTTGTGCCATGTGGGGTTTGAACCCACGACACTCGGCGCAATAAGAAGAGGCGTGGCGACCGCTTAAACCACTTCGCCATCCGTGCAAGAAATATATGTCTATGTCCAAATAAAAAGTTCCAAATCACACTGATCATTCCTCTCTACACCACCGCCTAGCTAAAATGGCAAAGAATGTCTATGGTGTTAATTCCATCATTATCCTTTGTTTGTGAAAGGAATTATTTTATTTAATAACCATATTCTCCCATATCTACCCTCAAAATTCTTTTAAAAACTAACATGCTAATTATTAAATCTCCTTGTTCCAGATGAAGCCAGCAAGAGTAAGCGCCAGCGCCCTCGTGACATGTCTCTGGCTGACCCTCCTCATACCATGGAAATCGCGCAGATCCTGATATCGTTGCTCCACGCTTGGGGTCTAGACCCCGACTTGGATAGAGTCTGCGAATCTAAGCTCGGGCTTTTAAGACCTATGGTTAGTTTTCACACCCGTATCTACCACGACATTTAGTTTAGTTGTTCTGGATCTCTTACTTGATCCTGTTTATTTTAGCGTCATTTTGTGATTATTCTAGTTCAAATTGGGGACGGAGCTGCTTTTTTTCTCTTTAAAATGGTGTAACAATAAGGGATGCCGTTTTTTCTAGGATGAGGAGTCAATTTAAAATTATTTTTTATTATATTTGCAAAAATACCACACTTCAAAAATTTACGTATAAAATAAGACACGTTTAACATTATTTTGAATTATAATAAATTGCATTCTTTATTCCTTAATTTTCCACACTTGGGGGTGGTATTTTTTTCTTTACATGTATCTGTATAATAGGAATTATACCCTCCCCAACAAAAATAGACTTTACTAAATTAGTTTGTAAATAACGGAGTTCTAAGGCAACAAACGTAAAAATGCAAACGATTTTATACCTCCTTTTTTAAAGTCGCTTAAAAACTATAGTAACATTTACCGACGTCATTAATTTAGCTGACTAAAAGTGCATGTAGAGTATTTACAAAACTACGGAATATTTACAATAGCCAGGAATATTTACGTAGGCACCATCTATCGAATAAAAACCGAACTACATCGTTCCGATCCTGTATCGCGTAATGATAGTTCTTGCACTGAGTACACTTTCCTTAACTTACTTTGTGTTGGAGAAGTTTCCTATCCTTTACAATGCAGTGGTTAAAATGATTATGATTAATAGAATAAATAAAAAAACCTTAACAGGAACCATCTTCTTTTGTTGTCAGGTCCCAGTGTGCTTCGGTGTGGTCTCTCGTCATGGTCACATGGCCGTTCAACTACCCACTTGGCTCGGTAGTTGGGCTGAGGCCTGCGCATCAGTTCCTGATGATCCTCTTCTTATCACCTCCGATTTACCACCTGAATTGGTGAGGCAGGAAAAACTAACCAGGTAAATTCCAGACCAGAAAACAACAAACGAATGGAGGTGACCAGTTTGCTGGATTGGTCGCTGACCTAAAAATAATAAGGCACACATGGTTAGAGCGAAGCGTTACTTAGAATCAATATAGAATATCCTTGTCTCCTGCGTTTGCATTTTATAACGAATAAATTCTTCTTTTTTTTCCAGACTCTTCACCTCAAAACTACACTGGGAGCTAAGCACGACCCTGACTACTAACCACCTTCTGTCCATCGTGGCGCTCGCCAATACACTTATGTCCATGAGCAATGCCAGCTTCGTGCCGGAGCAGGAAGTCATAAGAAGGCTCCACAGGTAATGTGGCCTTAATGATCTAAAAATAATTGGCTATGATTTCCAGCATTTAAACAGCGTGGTAAAGACCCTAAAACCTGCTTTCTAAGGAGAGATCTATGTCCAACAGTGGACTATGAAAGGCTGTTGATGACGATGATGAAACAGCAACAGCATTTTTTGGGTATTTCGTCTTCTCTTCTATTCGAAGACACGGGTATGCTGTCTGATCGAAGGGTAGTGGTAAGTAGACATTCCATATTTAGTATTTATATGAGGTATGTACGGGTTTGTGGTGGCCATTTAAAGTATAAAGCAAAAATGAAGCACATTAAATGATGGTTGTCGATTTCAGACCTTCAACCCGAAGTTCTTCATCCTGGGCAGCAGATGAAGAGAGAGAAGAACAATTAGCCGCTCAACAGGCTCACATCAAGCAGGGCTGGTCACTTCTGGCAACGCTACATTGCGTTTTGCTGCCCGATAAAGTTGTGACCGCAGGTATGACGCATTGTATCACATGCACTACTGCTTATAACGCACAAACTACTTATTAAATAAATCTTAGATAGTCCTCTAATATTTCGAAGAGGAGGTTAAACACACCTTAATGCTTTTCGGAAATTTTCGACAATAATACCAAAGTTCCGCAATAACTTTTGATCCCTACGCAGCATAAATCCACATAATTTATAAGGAGACTATTCACCGTAGATTATCTAGGCCTATGGGGATAGATACGCAGTTTCTAGAACTGTAACACAACATTTATGGTCACTAGTCTACTGTTAATAATTTTAGTGTACATTTTAAGTTTCTCCTTAAGAGTTCAGATATCAAATGAAAACTGCTAACAAGTTATTCTATACACATATTAGTGCATTCAAAGGAATTCATGTAATTATTTAAAAAACATATTTATGGAGAATTATCTACCACCAGGTGCGAAGAGCTTCAAGCGTCCCCAAGTGGAGATGCTTGCCCGCCGCTGGCAACATCATTGTCTTGAAGTTAGGGAAGCTGCGCAGGCTTTGTTACTTGCTGAACTGGGCAGGTAAGCTACCAGTCAAATGTTTTCTTGACATTGACATTCCAGTCAGTAGCAAGCCTACAGTAGAAGACAACAAGGATAGTGAAGTGCTTTGAATGGTTATTGCGCAACTGTGGTGCAGAATTATGGACATGTTTAGTTACACATTTTCTAAATAATAATATAATAATAATAATAATATATCTCACACACTCACACACGGCCGTCTGATCCCAAACTAGGCAGAGCCTGTACTATGGTAACCAGACAGCTGATAAACATACTTATATATTTCTAAATACATACATATTATAGATAAATTACACCCAGACACAGAACAAATGACCGTGCTCATCACACAATATTTGTCCTGGGTGGGAATCGAACCCACGACCTCCGGTTTAGCAGTCACGGTCACTAACCACTAGACCAACAGGCCCGTCAAATCCATGCATATTATGCATATACGCCTGCCTCAGAGGAGCAGTGTTAGTTTATGCGACTGCTGTGCTAAGGTCTCGTTTGTATATTCTGCAAATATTTGTTTCGGAGTTTTCTATGTATAATACGAGTATGTATGTATTTATAAAAAAGAAACTATATAACTATTCTATCAGTCAATCTAGCTTTCATAGTACTAGCTCTGCTAAGTTTGAAACTAGATGGAGTTGTGTCAGATATCCGAAATATTATTATTAAAAATAGGGAATCGAAATCAAATTCTTGATGTCATACTAGAAAAAATCATGCAAATCTCAAATTAACAGGTTAGGCCCGAAAGGACGCAAGAGTCTGGTTGACAACTGGGCTCAGTTCTTGCCTCTCTACACTCACACGGAAAGCATTAACCCTCACGCCGCACCAAAGGATCCAGTTGAAAAGGTCAGAATAGTCAATAGTCATATTGCCAGTAGCTAATACAAAAACCAATATAAGTTCGTCTTCCATCATTCTCCTCCAGTAACATGGTAGAGGAGTTCCACTTTACGCAATAGAAATTTATGTAATATGTGTCCTTTAGCAAGAAGAAGAGTTCGAGGAAGAAGAGGAGGAAATAGTGCGCAAGCCGTCTTCTCTTGCCGAGCTAAAGCGGAAGCAGACCACAGCAGTTGTTTTGCTAGGAGTCATTGGTGCTGAGTTTGGACAAGACATTACCAGCGAAGGTAAGATATCTAACCGTTATAGCAATAATATTAAATATTCAGCTAATTTGAAGACTCGCTGTTGTTGCTTTAATAACTGATATATTCGCTGAACTGTATACCAGTGTTGTATATTGACCAATTTCTTTAGAGGTCAAAACTGAGTTTTTAGCAAACGGAGGTTTCAATAATAATAATAATAACCACACATCTTACACACGAGAGTCTGGTCCTAAACTAAGCAGTCTGTGCTATGGGATAATAAGTAGGAGGTCGTGAGTTCGATTCCCACCCAGGACAAATAATTGTGTAATGAGCTATCCGTGCAGTTGTCTAGTACCGCTATAGTATAAGCTCTGCTCAGTTTGGGACTAGATGGCGTTGTGTGAATGTGGTAGAATATATTATTAAATATATTAGCAGTACTCCTGCCCAAAAGGAATCCTTATATGTCATGTAATGGAAAACCTTTATATACAGCCTTTTATAGCTTCCATATTAATCATATAACCAGCTTCTTATTTAGTTCAGTTATTATTTGCATATATAATGCTTCGTTATAGGCGCGGCGGGCAACAAGAGACGCAAAGATGGAGACAGCAGAAAGAGTTCCGTTGTTGAAGGTATATTCCATTATTATAATATTATAGTTGTAGTGGGAAAGATCTTCTTTTCTGATATGTGTTTAATATTAAGTAATCTACATATTACTAAGTGTATTATACTTTGAACCCCTTTTTGAGAAAATTGCGCGAACGGATGAACTTGAAATTTGACACAGTTAAAGTTTATATGTAAAATGCATTAGAAATACATAAAATTAATTAAAATAAATATAACACACACTACTGCTTGAATGACACACAACATACACACACACATACCATACTTACTCTTTGGTTCATGGTTAAAATCTATGGTCAAACTTTTGAATAAATACATGATTAAACATTTTGATTAAAGAGGTATACCTAGTCTTTGATAAAAAAAAAATCTAATAAAGTACAAACTTTAAAATTAAATGTATTATGGTTGAATTTCGACAATTGGGCGACCACTAGTACGGTATGAATATGCGATGAAACCTATACATATAAAATGACTTGCCCTGACTTGCCTTGATTCATCAGCACAGAGCCTAACCGGCCCCAGCGGCTACAAACTTGAAACGACAGCTGATGCTTTTTATGTTGTAGATACCCACTAAGAAAGGAGTTATGGAAATTTCACCTCTAAGGTGGTAAAATAGGGCATGAATGATTGTGTGGCAGTTCATCATTTTCTAAGTTAGAAACACGAGATAATAATAATAGACACACGAAATAATCATTAATAACAAAGCACGCAATAAGATTTTCTCCACAGACCTCAACTATGACTCTCTGTGTCCCACTTCTACTACTGCGCACCTGCCTAAATATTCGCTCTTTTTTAATTCTTTATTTTTCTGCTAAAATAAAAGCTTGGTAGTTAAAAAAAAACTTTATTTTGGAACAGAATTTATAACAATAACTTCGATAGTGACTGCAGTAGTTCAAAACGCTGTCACTAACGCCCAACATTATCCTAATATACAAAATCAAGCACATGACATAATGACAAGAATTTAAGTATAGATAGTTTATTGCCAAAGATTATTTTATTTTTTTTAAATGATAATGTTACGGACCATGACGCAGAAGTAAAAAGAACGAAGAAGTACGAATTACGAGTTCAAAACTGTAATGGGGTAGATAACTGTCGAGTCAAATCAGTATCTTTTTTAACCGACTTACAAAACACAAAACCAACACCGAGCACCGACTTCAAACTAAGGGACTATTGCTATTATAATGTTACCGGTAATATTGAGGGTCGCACTGATTATAGTTTTTTTACTTTGATTTGTAATAATTTTTAGTGCTTTTTGACAGTATTGTTTGAAGCCGGTTCAACTTTTTTTTAATAAGATTTATTTAGACGTCATAACCCTACATTTTTGTATGAAATGCTTTTTCGTGACGTCACCTAGCTATTGTCAAATCATTTATATTTAATGTTGATAAAAAAGGTTAAATTGATAACGGAGGACAATTCAGACAATTTAATTCAATAATGCATGCAAAATAATTTATTTTAAACCTTGGATTCTACTCTATTATGGGACAGCCATGCGTCGGCACATATTAGCTGACTCGACCAGAATGACATTACGACCTTACAGACCACTACGCAGAGGGCCAAGTACGAGTTTATTTTACTTCTACTCGATCATCACGGTCACCGCGTTCGGCGCTCCGATTGGCCCGCGCTAAAATCTCCACCAATCGCAACGCTAAACGCGCTCGCTATCGAGAGCCAGTCGATGTGAAATAAACTTGCACTGAGCCCTCTGTTCTTTCGTCATTTCACCGAGTGAGTGAAGTTACCGGGGGCCTTCCCCCTTCCCACTCCCTAACTCTAGGGAACGGGACTCAAAGCTCAACAAGTTGTCTCTTGTCTTTTGTTACAGGCTCTTAACGAAAACATAATTTCCCTTCAACAGGTTTCACTCTAAGCTCGTCAAATAACCTGGCCCGTCTAACGGCACTAGCGCTCACCCATCTACTTCTGAGCCCCGCTTGCCCACGCTTACCTGCAGCGACTCCGCTCCGCCGTGCCGCAGTCGACTTACTGGGCCGTGGTTTCACAGTCTGGGAGCCTTATTTGGATGTTAGCCATGTTTTACTAGGTATGTACATCTTTATTATATAAATATTTCGCGTCAAGATGTTTGTCCGCGATGAACTTCGAAACTACTGAGCCAATTTAGATAATATTACATGACACAAAATTAAATTGTTGAATTACCATCTTTTTTGTATCTACTATAGGGCTGCTAGAAATGTGCTGCGATGCTGACAAACTAGTTCCGTCAATGACGTATGGTCTGCCGCTGACCCCCCAGGCTGACTCTTGCCGCACCGCTCGACATGCGCTCACTCTCATCGCTACTGCCAGGTGAGCTAACTAATGTCTATGAGTATATGAGTACATAGACATTATTTTCATAATAAAAGAGAAATTTCTTGTTAGTACATTATATTTTATTTTTGGAATTTGAGCTGGAAAGTAGGAACTTCTTTGAGATTATTAATTAGAGCGGCATTAAGAAATCCTGGATCTTAATTGGTGATGATCAAATTCATGAATACATCACATGATCTTTACATGGTATACTGAAACTGAAGCCGCATTTTTTCTTGTACGCTTAAATCTTTTAAATTACGCAATGGATTTTAATGCGGTTTTGCACCAATAGAGAAAGTGATATAAGAGGCGGGTGTTTAATAAATGCATATTATAGTAGAAAAAAGCCGAGAATTTCAAAGATTTGTAATATGAAGGCGTAAAAAGCATGTTTTTGTGCGCTTACATTACGAAATAGATCAATATACTACTACTATAGTACTACGGAGTTGTATAGTTTAAAAAGATTTACAAAAAAGTTTGAAATAGTATATGTCTATCTCCTAAATCTATTATTTCTTATACTTATTAATTATTTCTTACACTAGAAATACATTCTGCATTTTGGTATAGATCAAAGGTGCCTTTTACAGCATACGTATTATTCAAATGATTATCAGAGATTTAAAATGTATCGGCAAAACGGCCGTCGCCGCGTTGGGGCGTACGTTCGTTCCAGTTGGCAGCGGGACGGCAGGAGCGTGTGATATGTAAGATCCCCCCTTCCCCCCCCCCCCAGGCCGGGCGCGTTCATCACGACGATGGCGCGCGAGGTGGCGCGGTGCGCGGCGGCGGCGGCGGCGGGGCAGGCCTCGCCCGCCGCGCACGCGCTGCACAAGGGCCGCGCCGAGGTGCTGCGCGGCATCGAGCTGCTCATCGACCGCATGCACAACGAGGTCGCCGAGCTGCTGGTCGAGGTGACTATGGGATCCTTCACAACACTACTGCTCTTCTAGCTTTCTGTTAAAACCAGACCTTAAACCAACAGTTTAAGAAAATATACCGATCGGTATAGTCAGTCGTATCTTCGTACCCAGAGCCCTTCGTATCCTTGTGATAAATAACAATAATGTAGAATGTAAGTAAGTAGAATGTGTAGGGATTTGAATTCGTTCCTGAAGACTGTGCCTGATGCTGATGTGTTTCATGATAGGGAGAACCACTTTCGTGCAAAAATATGGGAATCATTTGGCAAACCTCGCAATAAAAAATGATAAGTATGTACCGATCGTTACTGCAACCACTAAACTCACCAGACCAATAGAGTTAAGTTAAGTTTGTAATACCTATATGTCAACGTGATTTTGTTAATATGTTGTCTAAACTGTGAATGCTGTGTTAGCTCGTAAGTGGCATGTATATCAGAACCTTATTACTGAGATTTTACCATTAATGTTACATATACGTGCTGTGAGTTAACCTAATAAATAAATAAATAAATAAATTAATATTGATAATACATTAGAAAGATAGCCAAAATGTAAACCAGCTCGACCGGAGTGATATCACGACCTCACAGAAAACCGGTGGTAAACAATTATTTTATTACTTTTCACCGAGTGTGTAGATTACCGGACAGCCCCTCCTCCTTCCGAGTCTTTAGGAAGGCTCTAAAAAGCAACAACGCGTTTGTACAAATATCCTAGGGCAACGATAGTCACCTACCCTTCAAATCTCCCCCTCCCCGTAATCAGAGATATAGAGGCTCTTCGACTCCGGTAACCTCATTTACTCGATAAGTAAGGAAAGAAGTGCTTAAAAGTGATTTTCTACAAGATCATGGTATTACTTAGGAGGAGTCGACCCAGACGTGTCAAAGCATGGCTCTTCCACGTTAAAAAACCCAACTCATAATACAACGTAATAATACATAATGTAACGTATTACATTAATACCGTTTTATGAATAAAATTGATATGCTATCATAATGTATATAATGTGGATATTTCTGAGATAGATACTTCTAGAGTGACTATGTTTTAGCATGCGGCGTCTACTCTTATAAGCTATGGTGACCACTTTTGTTTAGGTTACAATTAAAATTTGCAAGTCTGGATAAAGCCATTTGTTTTTTCGTTTTAAAGATCTTTATTTCTCAAAAAAACAAATGTCACTTACACGAGAACATTAAATTTAACTATAAAAGCTATTAACCCGATATAACCACCGGTACTTCAACAATAATAGATAAACGATGTTTCTTGTGATGCGAGTTCGCTGCTTTCAAAGTCCCATTTCTTTATTTTAACATTACTTGAAATATTACTGTAGGTTCCTTAACGTCTGCTGGAAGTGCATTGGATAGCTGTGCTCCCACAAAGGGTTTTTACTAAGTCTATATGATTCGCACGACGAGATGAATACTGCTAATATAGTATTGGAACTATTTGTGCAAAATATTTTAAGCATCTTGAGCTTATTGTACAATTATTTTGAGATTATGACCAAAATAGAACATAAATGTGTCATTTCCATAAGTGTGACTTGTCCGTGTAAACGTATAAATTACGATATAAATTAAGAATTATTAAGGCCCGAGAATTGAGCCTTGTGGTACGCCGCAAGTTAAGGATTGAGGAGAACTTTGATGGTTTCCAAAATATACGACCTGAAATCTGGCTGATAGATAAGACTGGATCATATTATATGCTTTCCCAGTGATGCCAATACTCCGTAATTTTTTTAGTAGCAAACTATAAGAGACCCTGTCGAACGCCTTATTCAGATTAATAAAAACTCGTACTGTAATCTATACTTGTTTTAATAGTTGTTATCATATCTACTTTCCCTCACTATATTATGGTATAATTAATTTACAGGTGATGGACATAATCCTGCACTGCGTTGACCAGTCCCACTTGAAGAGCAAGGGTTTGAACGAGGTGTTCCCAGCAATCTGTAGATACAACCAGGTGTCCCACTGTCCTGCTACCAGGAGGATCGCAGGTAATCTTGTACTTCAAGGTTTTTGCCTAAGTTTTACTTTTTCCTGGGTGAAGACATCTTAAATTTTTACCACTTGTGACTTTTTTGCCATTATAGTTTCACCTAAAATCGTAAATCTTAAATTCTTTGGCAGAGGATTTGCTCCGGAAAGAAAAGTAAATTGAGACTACTGTTGGTATTGGTGGGCTCCGATTGCAGCATTTAGACTCAAGAGTGGTCCTTTATGAGCATTTAGACTACTGTTATTAAAAAAAATATGATTGGTCAGGGGAAGGGAAAAGGGGTAGGCACTTTGGAAGTTAAAGATCTCAAAATAAAAGTTAATAAGATGACATGGTATATCGAGAGCCTCTGACACGTTGTCGCCAGTGGGCAGCCACACGGGGCAGCTGGCCATGTACGAGCTGCGCGCGGGGCGCTGCCAGTCGCTGGCGGCGCACAGCGGGCCCGTCACGGCCTGCGCCTTCAGCCCCGACGGCCGCTACCTCGTGTCCTACGCCACCGCCGACAACCGCCTCTCCTTCTGGCAGAGCACCGCCGGTATGTGTTCCCGCTCTAACACAGGGCTCAGGGAATTCTACCTGTTTGTAACTATGCTATTCTATATTTATAAAAAGGTTAAGTTAGTTTGTGTAAGCTTTAAAAACTCAAAAAAATTCTTCACCGGTTGAGCTCAAATTTTGACACGATGTAAAAAACGCTTTAAAGATAGTTTTTATATATTTTTCGCCTCACTCCTCCTTTACTTTTGTTCCTCATTTCCCATCAATGCAACCACAATGTGAAACAGAAAACCGTGGCAGGGTGCAGCTAGTGTTCAATAAAGAATTGTTATTATTCCACACACTTGCAAACTGACAAAAGTAATGTTTTATATATTGTCCATTAAGAACCTTAATTTTTCATATCACAAAAGTATTCTTAATTTTTGAAATTCATGACACTGTTTTGATTTACATTATATATCTGTAGACGTAACCACAGTCATAATATTTATATAAAAATGCTTTAAAAATATTACAATCCTAGAAAACACAATTTTAAACATGGTTGTGGTTGACTTAAAAAAAAATATTATTTTAATATTTGCAACAATTCTTATTTTCAAATTCTAAAAGACAAAATACTTTACCTTTATCTCTATAGATACTTGCATTATGTCTGTAATAAAACCCACTTCTCCTTCAGGTGAACCAAAATTTTTCATTCATTATATCAATATTTTTCGGAGTTGGGTGTTTTCTTGTAAAACTAGATGGCCAAAACGCCACCCAAACTCCGAAAATGTCAGATGTCCGAAAATATTATTATTATTTTTCTGTAGTGGTTTTCGAAAAACATTCGTAATTTTGACCCTAATATTTTCTTTATGTCATTTCAGGAATGTTCGGGTTAGGTGCAGCCCAGACACGCTGCGTAAAGTGCTACAGCACGGCTCCCATGGCGGACGTGGCGAGGCTAAATCCCGCGCGTCTAGCTCGGCTTGTATGGACCAACTCCAGAACCGTCACCCTCATGCTGGCAGACGGCTCTGAGACTAGGTTCAACGTTTAAATTTAGTCAATTTAAAGTAACCAAGATTCGAATCTTGGGCTTTTCTGTACCACATATAACAAGCACAAGTCACTTTCTATGATAATTATAAAAAAATAAAACAAAAGTTATACAATATTTATTGAAGCTTGACTAGTTTTGGACTTAACTGGGGTCTTTTATTAAGGAGCAAAGCGACCTGTCCCTTAACCGGCGCCAACCAGTGTGCCTGTTCATGTATCTTGATACGATCACTGGTACGATAAATATACCGGCGCCAAAACCTCCTCTTCAGTCCCGTTCTCTGATTCTGGGGGGAGGGACTGAAAGGGCGGCAATGCACTTGCGGCACTTCAGTTGCGGGTGTCCATGGGCGGAGGTATGTACTTACCATCCGGTCACCCGCCCGATAATTTTGTTGCGGGTTCCAAGACAGTTAAATTTTTTTGGGACCTCCCGAGTGTCATAACTCGGTGCGTTCGTGGGTAACTGATCAAGTGACAAGTCAATGGTGAGAATGATATATTGCTGAAATTTATGACTTGGGGGTATCTGCAATACCTCGAGTAGTTCAGGATCGCATATCTGAGTCAAACCTAGAGATATAACCATAGAGAGAACACGGGCTACAGCTGCCTGTAAGTGGAAGCGATACAGGGAACGATAGAGATGGAGATGCCCGATATTTCTCTCTGTCTCAGTTTTATCTACGCTGCGATTGGTCACCTATTAACCCCCCATATTCTCCAGCCAACCACAAAGCTCGGCTAGAAAGAGATGGAAGGGACCATCTATTATCCATCTCTCTCGTTGCCTATATTGCAAGATTGGAGCTCTTGTTCCCTCTAGGTTATAACTCTATGATTCCAACTGACTGAATGGGCATTTAACCAGAAACATACTAAACCAATGATAAATCTATACTAATATTATAAAGCTGAAGAGTTTGTTTGTTTGGTTGTTTGTTTGTTTGTTTGAACGCGATAATCTCAGGAACTACTGGTCCGATTTGAAAAATTCTTTCAGTGTTAGATAGCCCATTTATCGAGGAAGGCTATAGGCTATATATCATCACGCTAAGACCAATAGGAGCGGAGCACCAATGAAGAATGTTTCAAAAACGGAGAAAATTTATTACTATTGAGAGACGCAGACGAAGTTGCGCAGGTCAGCTAGTTCTAGATAAAAAGAAAAATAAACATACAGTTTCATAAAACTGGTGTACTGTTATAGATTAAATAGATTTGGGTTAACAACTTGTAGGAATTAGCTTTGTATTATATTTATTAGATAATATTAATGTTTACTTACTAAACTAGGTTGAATTATAAACGTTTATTTTAATTTATTACTTAGCACACGCAGCTTTATTGATCACTATTATAGTACTGTTTAAATTTTATAGCTAGGCCATATTTAACGCAAGAAAAAATAAAAAAAAGCAAATTCACAATTCACTATCGCTAAAACACTCGCATAACAATTGCTTACGTCACAAACCGCTTAACTCACAGTTGTCTATGACTATCACAAGTTTGTTGATCGGTTAATGACGTATTGGATCTGGTTGACGTTTGTCACGTGATATTGTTATTATTTTAGCCTTTTGCATTTTTTTTCATATTACATGCTTTTTTAAATAAAATAATCTTGTTGTTAATGTCAACATCTCTATTGTTATGTCTCATGTTAAAAATATTAAATAAATAAAAAAATATGTAATGTTTATGAAAGTGGAGTATAATTCCGATTATTTTATGTCAGTTAGATATAAATAAAAAGGCGGCAACTCGCATTTTATTAAATCAATATGGCTACTTATGTGACGTCAGTGACGTATAGAAAGTATTATTTATTATTGTTGTTACCAATTATAATCAAATGTAAAATATGTTAAATAAATGTTAAATAATAAATTAGCGGTTTAATTACATACCTTATTTCATCTGTTACTATTATATAAAGGCCAAAGCAACAACCGAAAACATGAAGAAGAAAAATAACACATCTCTAAACAAAATCATCTCTAAACCTGCAATGGTATTTTATACAAACAAGAGGTGGATACGCAACCTACCCACAAAACGCGTGCTGTGAATATGTCCTAATTAGGACCACTGCGAGCACATACTAATTAATTACGACCGGATGGCGTAGTGGTTTGTCTAACGGACTGCTATTCTAAAGGGTTCGATTCTCGCTCAAGTCAAATATTTGTCTGCATGAACATTTACCGTTTAATTTGGTCTGGGTGTTTCTATGTATAATAAGTATGTATTTACAAAAAAAAGTATATAAATATGTATTTATATCAGTTGTTTAGTACCCATAGTACAAGCTCTGCTTAGTTTGGGACTAGATGGCGTTGTGTGAATGTGGTAGAATATTATTATTATTATTTAAAGCTTACAAATGGTTCTCGTATTTTCATGTGCAGACTGAAAAGTGCGGTCATATTTTAGAGTTATGGGGTCTACATAGTCTACAACGTAAAACTTTAGATAAACTTTAAACTTTTTAGATAATTCTAGAAAATTCATAATATCCTGTGTATTCCGAAAGTGCACAAATTACGACAAAAAGATAAAGAAATATCATACCACAGGTAAGTGTATGTTTTCTTCTAAACTGCACTAATAGATGTATGTACGGTTACGCAACAAATATTTTGTACGTGCAGAATAATAATGGGCAGGGCACATAGCAAGGAGAACTGACGGCCGATGGGGCAGCAAGGTTCTCCAATGGAGACCACGTACTGGAAAGCGCAGTGTGGGACGACCGCCTACCCGATGGACGGACGACCTGGTAAAGGTTGCCGGAAACCGTTGGATGCAAGCCGCAATCAACCGTCCCCGCTGGAAATCATTGGGAGAGGCCTATGTCCAGCAGTGGACAAGCATAGGCTGAGCAGAGAGAGTATGAATAAAACGTATCCCCCTTAAAATATCATTGTGAGCCTGACACCTGGCATTTGCAATGTCTACCTACCCACACTCACGCCTATTCCGAAGGGATAAGCAGATGCGTATTAAAACGCCCACAGTTTGCTCCACCACTGCGCTTTTCGAAACACTTTGCCTCGCACTTCCAACCTGTGGGTTATCGTCTGCGGTTTTACCGCACCGATATGACGTTCAAACCTTCAAGAAAAGAACGTACTCCTTGCGTTGTTAACGTTCATGGACGGCGGCTCGTTTGCCCAATCCTTAAAAAAAATCAGACGATTTGAGCGTGACATAAAGCATTGTGAGTGTCACAAAATTTAAAAAAAAAAACATTCCCTCGGGTATCCCGAAATTTCGATTTTTCGAATCTGCAGTTTGTATTTTTTATAATTCTCCACAAGCTTGTGTCACTTTAAAATCTTCAGACCTTTCAATGGGAGCATTTTTTGTGTCCAAATAACATATCCCCAAAATATCTGATGCGCCTGAATATTTTTTTTTCAATTTCTTCCCCTTACATTATTTAAAACCTGTAGAAGTTTTTCCCACCGTTGAAAGTAGATACATTTTATAACTTTTTTTCATTCTATTACCTAATCTTTCAAATGCATTAGGTCCCCATCACGTTTGTGTAAATCCCCATTTAGCATCAATGACTCCCCTACTATAAATACACGCTAACTAACGTAATAAGAGGCGGGTGCACTGCCGTCAACTGGGTACCTCAGGGAAGGTAAAAGGAAAAAAAGGGAAGGTTAGTAAAACGAGATTTAAAGCACTATGCTACAACCCTTAGGAGCCGTGCAGAGATTCATATAAATTTATTCAGAAATTTAACATTTTAATATAAGGTTGCTACATGTAACTTCTGTGAGGTTAAAATATCTTAACTACTTTGCCGAGAGCCTTTCAAGGCAGACATCTGCCCTTCCGTACTTCCCTCCCTCCCTTTCTAGGTATTTATTTCATCATCATCAGCAGCCTTTACTGGTCCACTGCTGGACATAGGACACTCCTTAGAAAGGAGGTTGTGGCCTACTATACCACGCTGGCCAGACGGGTTTGTATATGGTTTGTATTCGTTCTGTTGTCCTGCGTAGTTTGCTCTTTTAGTCGGATGCTACAACTAGGTATTTTAATAAATAAAAACAAGGATTACAAAAAGACATATATTTGGTTTGTTACAATATTGTCCTTATTATACCACATAGGACAGAAATACAATGATCGTACATATCATTTGTACACAAAATACTTTAAAGAAAAGACTAGTAAACTTACACAACTAGCAATATTTGACATTTGAAATATTCACTTACTGATTTTTGTTTGTATTCCTAACGAGATATAAACTTATTTATTGAAGATATAGGCCTGACTTGATAAGAGATTTCACTCGTTGGATAAGGACCCTGTCAGTCAGGTCCGGATTTAGTCGGGCGTGTCCGAAATACATACGTGATTAAAATCGTATATCTTTAACAAACATGAATACAACTCAGGAAAAGGTTAAACTATTCTGACATTTTCACAAACGCAATAAGTATTTTAAACGTCCAAATTAAATTTATTGATGTTAAGTATATTTTTTTATTATTATCTGATATGAGATTATCTCATATCAAGACAGACTTTGACATCTAAATTGGAAGCTGCAACAAAAATTTCCGATCTTTCCACTTGCACCACCCGCATGGACCCTCCAGGATGAATTTAGATATCAAAGTATATGGAATACAATTAAACACTTATTACTAAGATACAGACATCTAAATCTTAAACGAAGGTAGCGTAATAGCTTAAGCGTTGCAGGTTCGAACCCCACCTGGTACAATACTGAAGTGAATTTACACTTATCAATATACTAAATATATTACAAATATTTAGTTTAATTTTATTGATTAAGATTACAAGAAATGTGTGACTAATGAAAGAAAAAGCTTAAATAATACATGTGTACAGGTAAAAGTTTGGTAACTCTGTTTGTTAAGCAATATTTAGTTGTTTTTTGGAGTTTACTCCCTAAGAATTAATGTTCATATAAGGCGTCAGCGTGGTATGGTAGGCCAAAACCTCCTTTCTAAGAAAAGGCCTATGTCCAGCAGTGGACTGTTAAAGGCTGTTGATGATGATGATGATGAAGGCGTCCGGTTTAAAAAAAAAATATGACGAGTAAAATTTAGTGATCGAATGACCTCGTTACGTTTTTTAGTTCTAAATCTAACTTATAGATGGCGGTCCAAGTATTTACTTTTACGTGGTTGGAATAATGTTGTTGTGAGTTTGTTGTTAGTTCTATGATTGTACGTATTGATATGTTTCAGTTTAGTGAGTGGTCCACTACATAATTACAATTGTTTTAAAACGGAATAAACCCCAAAATAATTGACAATTAATACGTAACTTCTAATTATTTACTAACATTTACATAGATGGTCCTGATAACTAAATTTATTTGCAGCCGACGTATGTATGTATGTACGTATGTACGACACAGGGTATACGTTTTTAAGGAGTAAACTCCGGTCGCGCGTCAGGGCTGACACACACTTTTTTTTGTATTATCAACTAACAACAAAAAATATAGGAACATTTTTTCCTTACAACAAAATAATGACTTTTGACAAACGATAAGTGGACGAAGGCTAGTAACTTTAAAGTTTGTCAAAAGCGACAAAAATTATACATTAACATTCTTGAATGTCACAAAACTGATCAAACACTAATTCTTAATCACACTTACGTAATATCAAAAATTATAATCAGACTTGTAAGTTATGGCCAAAAATTGAAATCAAACTGACAAAAAATCAATACAACAGATCTTACAATAATTTCTAGGAGAGTATTGTATATAGGCAAGTAAGTTTATCTAAGCATATACAAGTATATAGAGCCTTCACAGTGCAAGCTATAACTAAGTTCGAGTCGAGATATGGCTGTGTGTGTAATATTTATCAAAGTCAACAGTCCGCACTGTTGCATTGTTTGCTAATGATGATATTTATAATGTACAACTAGGTTTTATTTTTATACATTTTGTGCATAAGGCGGACTTATTCATTATATTATGAACAAAATATATATGAATTTTCGAATACGAATTTTCTTTCAGCCAACCTTTGGGTGGTACAGAGCTTCTACCTGTGGTTTTGCTCGCGTTAAAGTATTTATTCACCCCTGGCATGACTTATGACACATCAATTTTACACGTTATAAGATTTCCTATATCTTTTTTTTATTCGTCAATTACCGAAGAAGTGAGATAGGAATACACGTATAGCACGTATATCATATGTTCTTTCTCTTTCTATCAATGGAATATTTTCACTTACGTTTGCACGCTTATGATTAGCCTATGCCATCTAAATAATATACAAAATGGCTATCACAAATCAAATAACTTTAACTTACGTAAATAATAAAAAAAGTAAAAAAATGCAAAAAAATAACAATTCAACAACTAATTGTCTATGCCAATTAGTTAATAGTAACTAGGAAATAAAGACATATTAATACAGTATTTCCATTGTTTTTCTATTCAAACAAAAAGAAACGCTTGCTTACACTAATCAACAGAAAAGGTTTTAAAACAACCAAAAAAAAAAGATTTGTATTATTTGACATTTTCTTACCTCGCGTCTCACTAGCATACTCTGGCGGTGATATTTCTCACGCACCTGGTGTAAAAAAAATGTCAAAATAAACACAAAACAAAAAAAATTAACATTAAAAAATCTTCCAGTAGGGTTGGATATAAAAAATAATAAAATGGACTATTAAGTCAAATTACTTTCTCTGGTTTAAAACAACAACTAGTGACGTCACATTTCGCTATCGTTATTTACTTTTAATGGAATCAACATTAATTATACAACTTAAAATAAAGTTTCATGTGGAATGTTTTTTTACGCACGTAAAAGTACATAAGCGAGTTATAGGATAAACTTATGAATATATTATAATTTCCTTAACGACCGGAATTTACTAAAACCCGTCTCTATCATCATTCATTACATATATATATATATATATATATATATATATATATATATATATATATATATATATATATATATATATATATATATATATATATATATATGTATATTATATATAACAGATCATAAATATTTCGTAGAGATTAAAAAGATAATAACCTAATCTACCTATGCTTAGCGTTCAAAATCGAATAAAAGAAACTTTAACGTATAGTCTTTAAAAACCAGTCCCCTAGCGTGTCACCAAACCAAAATAGTCGCTTTAGACTAAATTAAAAATCAGAAATAATTAACCAAATTGTTTAATTATTCAACCAATATTGTTTGATTGTTACTGACGCATTTATTTTTTATGATTACTATTTTGTAATTCTAAAAAAGTCATCAAAACTTTATCTCCGGTTTTTTTAACAGTCTATATACAGTCAGTTGTCTATATTTAAAAATACGCGCCAAGTAGTGTTAACATTAAACAACGCCGTTTGTACGTGACACGAAACGCAAACAACCTGGGCCTCAATTCTTCTATTTTAATATTGTATCAAAAGACTGTCAATGGAATGTCGTCGGAATAGTTTTGTACTTTTATTCTACTAACTATGACCTAAGACCAATGGCCCGATGACTTGTCACTAATACAAATGTTGTCGATGTGATCTTGTTTATAACACACAAAGACACACAAGCATTGTCCGTCTGCGTCGTCTATCAACACTCAGATCTATGTAGGACGGCATGGCGGAACGGCAAGATTCATTCTGTAGAAGTAGTAGGATCATAGACCAGAGGTTATCGAATATCCACTCTTGACCTATCGGCCGTCTATGGTTTCCGCCATCATTCAACACGACAAAACCTATTTCGCCATCACTTGAATAATTAGCACTTAACCACTGAGGGTTTATCAAGAAACTTGCCTCACATACTTAACCTGTGTAACTATTTGCTGCCTGCGGTATTTCTAGACCAATACCACCAAGAATTAAAGTGAAAGAAAAAAAAGTAAAAAGTCCATAAAGTTGTAGATGGATCAACATAAGAAAGAACTCGAGAGTCCAGTGGACGTTCCTAGAATTTGACTTTGAAACAATCGAGATGAAGTCAGCTCTAACAGTTCACCAAGCCAAGTCTTACCCAGCAGACGGACTAATGAACAAGACTGGTGGGTCCTTGGAGCTGCGAGGGAAAAAATATTATCATCTTCTTGCCCTTTCTCAATTTTATTTGGAGTCAACGCAATGTGTAACATTGTTAAGGGTTTTAGGCTGGCTTGTGGTGCAAAAAATGCGAGAAAAATTCATATGTCTGATACACATGTAAATGTTCGCACTTCATCCAAGACAAGACAGAGAAGCAATAGTCAAGTGTTGCGAAAAACGAGGAAGTGATCACAATTCCGCTCGTGCAACTCGGGCAAAAAAGTGGGAAATAGAAAACGTGGTGGTTTTAGTCGGTTCGACCCATACTTAATCACATCGTTTGGGTCTAATACATGTGGAATCCGTGAAAATAGACACGTTGAAAAAAAACTATGGATCTACTTAAAGATAAGTCATTCCATGTCAAAAACGTGGTCCAGGTCCACATCCTGGTGCCAGACCAGAATTCCTCATGAATAGGTCTGAGAATTGAAAAAAGTCAACATAATATCAAACTTCTCATGACTAATCGATCAAAGGAAGTTTTCAGGCCCCATAAGGATCCTCCACCGCAAGACCAATGACGAATTTTAAAAGAAAAAGAATGTAGTCTCTATATTTCTTTTTTATTTAAGTCAGACAGCCAGTTGCAACAAATATAGCGCTCAAACGAGTCTTTCAATTCGGTCAACAGTTTCCGTACATCCATTTATTTCTCTTTAAAATACTACTAGCGACACGCCCCAACTTCGCACGGGTTCAATTAGCTACCAATGCGGTGTCAGTGTGGAGTAACACAAAAAACGTGTTTTTTACGACATCACAGTACAAATCTTTGATATTCTCGGATTTTTTTTATTATAATATGCATGTATTGTACGTATAAACCTTCCTCTTGAATCATTCTCTCTAACCTAGATGACCACATTAAATTCCGTTGCGTAGTTTAAAAGATCTAAGCGTACAAGAACGGGAAGCGACTTCATTTTATATTATGTAATGATTTCAGTCAGGTTGCTTTTTACACAATTCTCTCTTCAATAAGACGTGACAAAGCGTTTGACATCGTGACATTAAACTTAGTAGCCGTACTCGGCTCTATTAACATATCTATGATTATTAAGATTCATCATTATTACCCTGGACGCCATCAAACTATTTGGCAGCAAGAACTTCAGTCATGTCATAACAAGAACAATATCATCCATAAATCAATATGATTAGAATACTGAAGTGAAATGTTAGCATTTCTGTGGTGCTTGGTTATAAAGCCAAGAGTAGCGATTCGGTAGCAAAATTCGCAAGGGCGTTTACAATTTCCAATTAATATCGAGCCAAAATTAGTAATAGCTAGAAAAACTGGAACCAAATCACTCAAAAACCTATAATAAATTTTAGAAAGGAGTTTGAATTTTAGCACGCTATATCATCTTAAAATTCAAACTTTTATAACAGCGCTAATCTATACTAATAACTAAAATCACATCGTTATCGTTAGGCCCATTTAATGCACACTTCAATTAAATGTGTAGTCTGTTGACTTAATAAAAATACCCAGAATCTTATAACTAAAAAGCTCATTAATAACAACAATATCAACAAATAAAAATATATAACGTTGATAAGGTGTTTAAACTAACGTATTAGACAAAGCATTTGAATTCGTATCTCAATAGTTGTCATGTAAGTAAGGAACAAGCGTAATTTATAAGTAACTAAATCTTAGTTATCTATTTCGTTTACGTGAAGACTATTTAGTTGTATGATGAACAATAAAAGTACTTATACCCTCGAACGGTAATATTTTATACATGTCTGTTTTTAATGTAAGGAGCAATATTTATAAGGAACTATATTTTCTTGTTTGACAATGGATTGGATCGAAACTTCCAGTAAAACAAATGCAAAATCTCACCTAGTATCTGTATACGTCTAATATTGTTTTTTATATTCAAAATTAACATCGTCCGCAAAATCATCTTCACTATCGCTCTCTTGATTGAGATTCAAATGATTTCGGAGATTGGTGATGTCATCAGTTAATTCTTGTTCGTCTTCAGACGAAACATCAATACCGTCGAAATCGTAAACAATCCATTTTTTTACATATCCTTTACCTAGTACTAGCCAATTGTTTCCCATGACTTTACTCAAACTGGCCTGTATGTACTGTCCTTTGTTTGAATGTGAGGATTTGTTTACATCTATAACACCGTATAATTCAAATTCAAATCCATATTCCTCGTCGTTGGCTTGAGCATAGAATTTGATATGTTTATCTTGAATAGTTAATTCATATTTTTCAGTTATTAACATAATTTTTATAGTAACTTTGATTTTGTTTTGACGCCAAACAATCTTTGGTTTTCTAAGATTCTCTTCGTTTTTTGTATTTTCTGCATCAGATTTTCTTCTGACGTTTGCATTAGCGCATACTACTTTCCTTACACTGCCTTTATACAACGTCAACCACTTTTTAGCCAGAACTTTGTTCAGATTAATTTCTACATATGCATCTTTCTTTGTATGAGTCGATTTTTCAATATTTATAACCCCATATAGTTCAAACTCAAACCCATAATCCGTATGATTTACTTTCGCAAGAAACTTAATTTTTTTATCATCAATAAAGAGTTCGTAATTTTCTAGCTGCATTTGTACTTTAATAGTGACATTAGTATTGTCTTGGCACCAATTTATTATTATTTTAGCTTTGGACGTTTCGTCATATAACGATAATATTTGGTTATTGTCTGTCACTGACCATATAGACAATTTTGTAGATGTACCTAACGAGACTATAGGTTTTATATCTTTATCTGTACCTGACAGAGTTTTTACGTTGTCTATGTTATCGTTTACTCGGACATTTTCAATTATTTCAGATTTCTTTCTGACATCAGCTTCTGGTTTAACATTATTTAGGGAAGGAAGAATTGTTTTAGGTGCTTCACTAACATTAGATGTATCCTGATTAGGAGCCATGAGCATTTGTATAGGGTTTGAAGAATCCCATCGATCAACATCAATATCGTCATTCACTAATGGCATAGATCGCATCGGGTTACTTCTTAACAAATTCATTACAGCCTGTTGGTTAGCACGGGAATTCTCCAGTGAGTCTTCAGATGAACTGCTCGACTCAGAATAATTTGCTTCATTGTTATTATTTCCTTCACCTTTGAAAGGGCTCACTAAAGTCAGATGCTTGTTATTATCAGATTCTGAGCAGTCTGTATTATGTATGTTATTTATTTGACTTTTATCGACATAATCAGATACTGATGCTTTGGTTGGTGTTATCTCTTTTACCGGTGTAGTTAAGTTATTTTCTACTAAATTATTATTAGACAAGGTAAGTGCCGAGGTGGAATTAGATATGAAATCATTATTTTTGGCATAAGGCAATAGGTGTGATGGCAAGGATCTTGTTTTTGGCTTTTGAGAGGTATTTAAAACTGTTACTTTATCATCGTTAGTATTCTTACTTATCTCATTATCTGATTCGTTTTTTAAATCACTATCGTCCGAGGAATCTTTAGTTTTTTCAAGGTAAATGGTATTTAAATATTCAATCTCTTCATTTTCCTCAGCCAAATTGGCATCTATCATTAATTTGTTAATATATACATTGTCAGCATACGTATCAATCAAGCCTATGCCGTATTTACTACCTTCAGTGAAATCCGCCTCTTCTTTAGTAAATCGTTTTGCGAATAAATATTTCCTTTTAGTGTCTGACTCATAGAATTGGTCGACAAACCAGTTTGTACTGAATTCTGACCATTTATCCCCAACAGGTCTAATTCCAACTAACCTACATTCTATCGCTTGAAACGGTAATTGCGTAATTATATTTTCAGATATTGGCAAAACTTTATCGGCAGTCACAATACTCCAGTCTCCTAAGTCAACAAAGAAACACTTAATGTTATTGCTGTCAATTACGCTATCGACCCTGGCTCTTTCAAAACATGTATCATCGGGAAACTTTGCTAGCACAATATCTCCTTGTTTTACGTCATGGATAGGTTCAGGATTTTCTGCCACGTGTTTTTTAATATCACTGAGAAGATTTTTTAGGCAATTTTGAAATTTGGCATTCTGTACAAAGAACAGCGATGGACTTTCAGCGTATAAGTAATATACAAGAGTTTGTTCTTCGCTATCTAAGTGTGCCCACCTTGGTTTTGGCAATACTTTGATTGGTTTAGGAACTTCAACCTTTTCAATGAGTACGTTCTTACGAACAAACTCTAAGTGTTCACCCAGTTTCAGCAAAGTATCAATATGACCAGGATTGTTAACCGCATGACCATCTAAAAGTTCATCTCTAATATTATTTTTTACTACTGTTTCGTTTATTGAAGATAAATCTTGGCAGGCTTCTAATGTTTCGACAAATATACAATTCCCTATGACCAGTGATATTTGAGCCCGCATGTAAATTTCTTCACTATTACCTGTTATTTTCTTGATCTGATCCTCAGCTAGTTTTGAATAAGAAATATCTCTTTCTTGCGGTGCTATATTTGCCAGTATTACTTTAGCTACATGACTGTCTATATTCTTTAGATCATCAGGTAAATGATACAACGAGGTATCACAAGCCATTTCAAGCTTCTCTTCGTCAATGAGATTTATTAACATCTGACTAGGTAGATTATCTTGAGTGTATTTTAAAACTTTTAATACTTGACAGCGAGCAAAAAAGTTTCGTTTTAAAGATACTGCGCATACATCGCCAGGTTTAGCTACGCCGTGAAGTTTTTTATTTTTCTCTTTACTGTAATACATTCCTAACTTAATAGAAAGCGTACTGTATGTCTGTGGGTACTTTTTGACGCCACTGTTTGTTGTGCACGACATTACTCTGACTGAATAATGAACCGGGGAATGATAGTGTAATATTTCAAAGGTTATGGTGCCTTCTCTAGGAATCCAGGCTAACGGTTTGTCAAAGTCTTCAAAAATGGCATGTCTTTCTTTGCAATACCCTATGTCCACACATTTTCCTAGCCTCAATAGAGTATTACACAATGGAACGAACGCTTTAGCTTTTTCTAAATCCTTTTTTAACATAACAGACGCACTAATTTTATCTAAGTCGGCCGGGACTTTACCGCTGCACCTTTTTATAAAATGCAGTATTTTAGGCAGTTGCTCCACATTATTAGTTTCAAGGAATATTTTAATTTTTACACCATTATCTTGACTGTTAAACAATGAAGCATAATTATCGATTAGCACCGCAAATCTTTTGCTGAACATTGAGAACAGTTCGGGTAGAGAAAAGTGAATTAAGTAGTGAGCATCTGTAATATTTAGATGGTTCAAATTACCATCACAGCACACTAAAATAGGTCCTTTTAAAGGCTCGCTATATTCGCTGAGAGATAAATCAATGGCATACAAATCATGTATAGTCATAGTACTGTCACATGCATAAACTACATACTTCAAGTTCGTCAGAGCTTTTTCTATTAGATGCACTTCATCATCCGACCTACAAGCTATCACAGTCTTTTTGGAGTTATCAATACTGTCTAAAAAGGATAGAACAGCTTCCATCTTTTTTTCTTTTTCAAGAAATTGGAAAGAAGTATCAGACTCTGAATATAAAACGCACTCTTGGAAGGCTCCAATACATACGACCGAGTCGGGTGCTTTTTTAGCTAAAGACGACATAAAGGTACTCCAAATTCTAGAAGCAACTACATACTGAACTTTGAGTTCTTTATTGGCACGACCTTTTAGCATTTCTTTAACTTTCGAAAAGCAAAATTTGATTTCATTTTGATAAACCTCAGATATTAATTCACAGTCATCTATGACCAAAGTGCTAAGGCTACGTAAATCTAATCCTAAATTTTCACGCATTAAATGAACCAATAACGGAGGAGTACTAATTAATATATCACATCCATTGAGAATGTTTGTACTTATAGTGACATCTGTCATTCCTGAGTAGCATGCAAAAATTCGCGCTTCATGGAGAAACATCTTACACATTTCCTCTACATGATAGGCCGACTTTGAAGTGGCACAAACTATAATACATGTTAACCGAGAAACAGAAAATCCATCTGCGGTATTTTTGCTGTCGCTTACTAAACGACACACAGCAGGCAAATATCCTAAAGTTTTGCCACTTCCGTTGGGACTCACAAGGAATAAACTATGACCTCTCAAGATAGTAGGCCATGAAACCGTCTGTACCCTCATGGGTTTTTTTACTAACATATTTCTTAGAACTACATGAATATTCGATCCAAAAGGAATATCTCTTAAGTTTGACACGGGTAGTATACGATTGCCTTTCTTAGTATGTACCATTAATGTTGGACTAACCAATTTTTCAACAAACACAGATTTGCTGCCGTCTAAATTTTTGAATGGATTAACATTATTGCCGACGTCTGTAAAAACAGTTTCGGGTTCAGATTTTACTTCTTTTTTAATACTGCCGCTACTTACATCTAATTTAGCAACTAAGGCAGAAATACTTTCAGAATCTGAGTCATCACCTTTAACTGTGCTGTCGGTATCTGCAGTTGATGAGCTAGTATTCAACTTAGCAATTTTTTTTTTCAGGATATTCATTTTTCGTTGTACAGGAGATGACGGTCGCTTCTCTTTAATATTCTTAGTATTATCTTGATCAGGTTTATTTTGGTCATTATGTTTTATACACTCATCTGGTACGTCTTTTTGCTCTAAAACATCCTCAGAATTTGCTTTGTTGAGTATTGAGCTATAATCATTATCTTTTTTGTCCTGTGTTTCTTTATCTGTTGGTGGTAATTTTGAATCTGTTTCAATTTCTCTTAGATGAAACTTTGTGGGATTGATGCCTGGAGGTCCAAAAGCTATGTATTTTTTATCTTTTTCAACTACATTTCCTTTGCCTGGTTTGCCTGAAAATCAAAAAATATATATTAAACTAGAACTAAACTGCAAACCACTTGTTTATTAAGTTACTTGTTTGTTAAGTTATTTGCATACATAAGACATACTATTTTTCCTAGATCCATCACACACTTCTTCCTGTTCCCCCTGATGGTGTTAAAAAAGATATAGACAAAGATAATGTCCAAATGACTTGGTTTAGACTCTCACTAAACAAAGAGAGAGATCTAAATCCTTTTTTAAAGTGTGGTCCTGGCACCTTCGAAAAGATTGTCATCTCGCAATTCCTTGTGTCAGAAACGCATTGTATATTTTGCAATCCTAGTGACCTCCAGCAATAATCCCACCCTGGCCTCTTCATACCAGGACCATATTCTATGGGAAACTATTTGATCTTCAATGCTAATCTAGTTTAATCCTCAAATAGGAATAAGTATTCAAAATAGCGAACCACATTTGAGGAAGAGGATCATCCTCCTAAACATGGCAGAGAGTAACCTTAGTGGTTGGCTACTAGCCTGCACCCAATAATACTATCCTATTCTATTTTTAAAAGAAAACTCCTGCATTAGGAATATATCCTATGTCATAGAGGACTTTACAAACATACATGAAACGGACACAAAGTGTTAACAGATACGAATTATTGAAAAGCATCTTCAATTATTAGGTGACATCATATGAACGGACACTACAAATTTATCTATCTAAGCTAATAAGAGACGAATAGGTCTACTAGACAATAATTACTTTAGATGGAAGCAATGGATTTATAAATTACATTAGATAGTTAATAAGAAAGACACAATGATTAAGAATACGTGGAAAGCATTAATGAATTCCATTAAAACAATGTGACTGCACAGATGGCACGACTGCAACAACTTTGTTTGATCTATATTATTATTACTATTATTCTGAGACTGGTTGTTTTTTGTATCTGTTTGATGTATGGTATACAGTTTTAGCACAGGAGTTGGCTTTTTAAATAATACCTGACCATCAATTTTGATTGAAGCAACAACAACTATTAAACAAGTGCACAAACAGTGTGGATAAGAAAAATACTTGAGCTGCGAGACTGCCAGACCTCTGATCGCTTTAATTCAAATACAATCTTATTTAAGGATGTGGAAAGACTGTAATTGTTTAGTGAAATACCCAGATGATAAGTTCTTCATGTCCACAATAGTATGGCTACATAGTATGTACAGGCTTAATATGGAAAGTATATTAACATTTCACAACATTGTATAAATTACCTCTTCGATTGTTTTTCTTTCTTGTTTTGGATTCTATAAAATTTATAGGAGAATCATCTGCATGCTGATTACATTCTGAACTGCTATCATCAGTATTTTTTGTCACAGCAGGTGCACCAGAAACTTTTTGAGCCTGAATTAAATTTAGTTTCTTCCTTAATCCTGAATTTAATCTGGCTGGAGTTTTTCTACAAGCTCTGCCAGCAGACTTTTCATCAACATCTTTGCAAGCATTCAAGTCATTTAACCGTTTATGTAACATCAACTGTGAATGTTTTTCTCCAATACCCACACAAAAATTTCCTGCGACTGCATCATCTTCAAATTCAACTGTCTTTAGGAAAATGGAAGTTTGCATTTTCAATATGGCATCTATATGTTCATTAGACTTATTTATGACTTTCAATGACTGTCTGATATTATTAACTACCGCAACAGTATTAACATAATCTAAATTGGTCTTCAGGTTTTGGTGAAAAAGTCCAACATCATCAGCGACAAAGCCTGTATTAAGGAGTTCTTCTAACATGCTCACAGTTTCACCATTATTCATTTTTAAAATGAAATCGCCATATTTATGTAAATTGTCATCAAAAATTGATATTCTGAAAAAAAAAATGGGGTAAAATTATCACTATTTTTAGTTGATGGCCCTGAGCTGAACTTTAGCTGATACAAGTGGGTATAGTAAATGGACATCAAGGTGTTAAGGCTTTATTTCTTCAAGATTTTTTTGCTCCAGCCCAAGGTCAGTTACATATCAGATGGCAAGCAGACAAGCCGGTGCATTTTAAAATCGCAAAATTGAACACTAGCAGGTAAATTGTTAAGATTTCTGCAGGATGCAAGTATTTCGCTAGTCATATAACAGCAATTCAATCTCCTTTTTTCTACTTTTTTAACATTTTTTTTTTAACTTACGTTTTATCGCAAAAAGTTACAGAAAACCAGACTTCTGAAGCTTCAAGAAACAATTTCTTCATAGCTATATAAACCGCTGGCAACCATTTTTGACATCTATTTGTTTCTACAGTTCCTTCAATATCAATCGTAACGCTTAACGGCGAAATCCCGTAAATGCCGAGTTGTTCAAAGTGAGTTTTATTTTCTTCACCATCTTTTTCAACCAGTGCCCAAATTAAATACGGGTTTAAATAATGTAGGATCTCAACTTTATACTTATCGCCCCCCATTTTACGTATCTTTAGTAAATTTCAGATTTTTATAAACAAATACAACGACTTTTTACAGACAACGTGCAAACTTCAAGTTCATGCATGATACTTTATCAAAAGGTGGCCAATCCAATCAAATCAATGAACAATCATTCAGTGTTGCCTACAGTTAAATGAACTCTCCACCAGATTTGGCATTTTGACATCTAAAACCACCACAAAACCACTAACGAAAAACGGCCCTACTCTATAGTCATTAAATTTACACTAAACATTTTTATAGTAATTACGAAAGAAAACAATAACTGTAATAATAATAACTTTTCTTTATTATTATGTAATTGGTCCTGTGCTGCCCGCATCCAACAGCTTCCCGTGACCTTCACCAGGTCGTCGGACTACCCTGCAGCGTACCACCCACGCCCACGCTCCGTCTTCCGGTATATGGTCACCATTCCAGAACTTTTTGTCCCCAATGGCCCTCTTTTCTACGAGTAATTTCCCATACCCATTACCACTTAAAGTTTCGCAATTCTCCGGGAACTGTCAGTGTCAGTTGGTTCGTCTGCGGATCTTCTCATTCCTGATTCGATCTTTGGGTGACTTAAACCCTTCTTATAAGGCCCATTGTGAGCGACCACCACCACAGAACTAATTGTTGTGGAGAGCCTTGAGAGAGACCTATGTCCCGCAGTGAACATCTTTCGTATGAGATGATGATGATTATTATGTAATGCTAATCACATCAACAGCCTTTAATTGTCGACTGCTGGACACAAGTCTCTCCTTAGAAAGAAGGGTTTGGCCTATTATACCACGCTGGCCAGACTGGTTGGTATAGGGTTTGTGTCAAGTTTTCCTTCTCTCTGCAGTGTTGTTGTTCTGCGTACTTTTTTCCCTTTGTCTTCTCTTACGATACCCACGGGATGAATAGGGGTGGTGACACTCTGTATTCTTAATCCGTCACGACACGGTGATTGAAAAAAGACAGTGATTTACATGCGTTTCTCTCGCACCTCTTCACTGGACTGTTTGCCCGTCGCCGTCTTAATTCTCTTTCTACCAACGCAATGTCGTCGCCATTCCACTTATAACCAATTCAATGCCTTCTCCGCTCTACCTATATTATCTCTATGGGCGTCACCCCGCTGGATCACTAAATCGAACCGACTAAAACAACAAGGAGTGCCACTCTGGGCCTAAAATAGGAGGGGTCCGGGAACTGTTTTTTTTTTTTAAACATTCGAACCCTTAATGGCGCTTGTCCGCAATAGCATGGGCACCGTCAAAAATTGTGGTTTAGGTGCTTTCCTCTGTGGCATCTGGAGTGGAAAAAACATCCATTCCTAATGGAGGTCATCCTTCCGGGCCCTTTCCACCGCCTCCTTCTGCGAGATTTTGTCTTCGTAGAAGGATGCAACCGCTGTAAAACATGTCGCTGTCGCTACCAGCCATGGAGCATGTGACTGCTGCCAGCGAGAAATCCTCTTTGATGACTGTAATGAGAACCCGATGGACGATGGTGAAGACCTCTGGCACGAGTAAAGGCTACGCGGAGGTCCTCCAACTCCTGGGACCCCCCCCCCCCCCAGTAGTCCTGGGTCCGAGAGAGCTGAAATCGGATAAAAGGTTGAAATACTCTCAGATCATCTTCTGAGCACGTCTCAACCTCTTTCAGGACAAACAAGTTCCGTACTCGTGCGGCGAGGGCAGTATTAGCGAATAAAAGGTTCACTAACGACTCCCCGACATTTCGGTGGAGCATCTGTTCAAAGACAGAGGCCAACAAAGGTCACTCACTCCTCTGCGGCCTTGCCCCTTGCGTCCGTCCCGAGTCAATTGCTGTTGGTTGGCAATTATCTACCTGCCCGGGCCCCGCAATGATCTATTTGTTCTGGGCCTCGCAATAGTTAACACAGGCCCCCACAGGCGATCAATGTGGGGAGCATTCTGTAAAAAAGGTTATCTAAAGTGCTACCCTTTTTCTATGAGCCTAACTATGAGTCGGTTGTAAAGAAGTTACAAAAAAAAGGAAAAAGGGTGACATCACATCGTGATCTTCTAAATTAAATGTGAATGTAGCTATTTTATTGAACGCATTTATATTTAAAAATTGTCGTCATCTCTATCCACAATTGTCATGAATTGTCAGTTTTTGACAAGTCGGCAATGGTTTCGTGGCTAAAAACAAATTGCGGTTTAAATTAATGATTTAAATCGCTTAATTATTGCTATATTTTTTGTAGTCTGCCGACAACAAACGTAAGTATACTACCAATTGTGACAACATAAATTGTGCAATATTTATGATGTAAAATTGCCAATAATGGCGATAAAAATAAATTAGATGTTGATGTGTTTATAGCTTCAAGGATTTTTTTGTTTAGTAAGTTCCAGAAATAGTCTAATATAAAAAAAGCTTAATAATATATGTTTAAATCACACAATAGTAATCGATTATTTTAGCTGTTGATGCATTTCATTCCTAAATGAGCTACGTAGATTGTTTATGCTAAAGTTCGTCTTGTTGGCATTTTTTATTATATTAGTTATGTATGTATTTAGAAAGATATAATTATGTTTATCAGCAATCTGGTCACCATAGTACACGCTCTGCAGAGTTAGAGATTAAATTAAACCTAGACAGAACAAATGATTGTGCTCATCACACAATTATTAGTCCTGTGTGGGAACCGAGCCCTCTACCTCTGGCTTAGTAGTCAGAATCACTATCAACTTGACCAATACACCCATTAAGATTCAAAATACAATCATATGTTACTCTTTTTTTTTTAAATAAAGTGTAGATTTGAATTATATTGAAATATATTTAGTACCAAAAGCTATTTTCTAAGGAGAGGCCTATGTCCAGCAGTGAATTACTAAAGGCTAAGTTTTTGTTAGTCATAACTTGTTACTTAAAAGAAAATTGTTTACATTTACTGATTTACCTTAGCCTCTTACTTCTAACAGCCCATTTCCAAGCTCCAGAATTTTCATTGATGCATTGTTTATAGATAAACATGTTAATTAATAATTTAACAGTGAAATTTCAAGTCCTAATGGACATTACATTTGTTGCGATTGCAATAAAGATAAGAAATACATTAATAAAACATACCAGTTAAATGTAGTTCTTTTATTGTTTTAAAGTGACTAATGTGATTTTCTCACAACACTGTTAATGTTGTTGTGTTGTTATCGCTCCAATCTTATATCTTTGAGAATAATAATAAGAACTCAACACATAGGCTGATCATGAACTAGTCAGTGCTATGGTAATCAAGCAACTGATAAACCAATATATTACTTAATAAATATAGATTACATCCATACAAAGAACAGTGATTATGCGTATTAATCGTGGGAGAGCTATGCTTCAGCAAATATGGTCTGATTTACACGGAGTGTTATCACAGAATCACAGAAAACTGATAGGTGAGGAGTGAGGAGGGTTCCTGGTAGTAATTCTAGGGGCTTTCTAATAGCAACAATGAACCCATGTCTCTTGAGTTTCAGTAGTCACTTAGCAGTAGTGACTTCTCACCTCCTTTGCCGCTATACCATAAAAATAACTAGATAAACCCTCAACATAAAGATTTTCATAGAATCCCAAAACTTCTTATACTACTATAATGCTGTAAAAAATGCATACATACTTAAAAATGAGAGAGGAAGTGAGTATCATTCCAAGCGAGGACAAATAATAATTAATGTGATAAGCATGATCATGTGTTCCATGTCTATGTGTCATTTATCTACATCTATGTATTACAGAAATATATAAACATGTTAATCAGCAGTCTGGTTACTAAAGTACAGGCTCTTTTAAAGATTCTTTAATATTTAATTGCCTAGTGCTTGACAAAGGTTATTGGCAACTTAACATCATGCTTAGACCCTTATGAGCAGAGATATTATTATTATTATTTTATATATTATTATTATTTTCCAGATCAAAATGGGTGTAGCAGTAAGTAAATACACGGAGCTATCTACTAATGAGCTTTTAGCAAGATTCTGTTCAACAGATGTGATATGTCCGAATGATCCGTTTTGGAACCAATTGTTGGCTTTCAATATCAACCCACCACAGAGTTCGTGAGTATCCCTTCTCTAACAATTGCAATCAAAAGTTTTATTCATCAGTACTATTACCTTTCTACCCAAGTGTAACATTGCAAAAGGTGTTAGCTGATTACAAGCCCAATGAGGGTTTCTTGAGAATGTAATTGTTTTGTTATTGTTTGTAATTGTTTTACAAAATATAGTTTATTTTATTTATTGTATACTACTAATAGTAGGGCCAAAACCTCCTTTCTTAGGAGAGCCTTTGTCCAGCAGTGGACGGTTATAGGCTGTTGATGGATACTACTAATGATCAAAATAGCTTAGTAAATTACCCATTTTTTTTTTAATAATATGTAAATGATAAAAATGGTTATGGTTGATAACTGTAAGTTATTCTTTGAAGATAGACATATGCCATCTCTATTGGAGAAAACCGGCATTTAAATCATTTGAAAGATCTAAGCATACAAGAAAAAAAAAGTCACTTCTATGAATACTATGTAGTATAAGTACTAAGAAGAAAAAATCAAATTCCAAAATCTATCAAGCCGTTTAGGCTACAGAGCTTCCCAAAGAAAAATAGATACATCATCATCAACAGCTTTTAATAGTCCACTACTGGACATAGACCACTCCTCAGAAAGGAGGCTTTAGCCTACTATACCACGCTTGACCAGATGGGTTGGTAAAGGGTTTGTGTCAAGTTTTCTTTCTCATTGCAGTGCTATTGTCCTGCGTAGTTTGATCCCTAATCCCTTAGTTGGCTCTTACGACACCCACGGGATGAATAGGGGTTTTGACACTCCGTATTCTTAATCGGTCTCCTTACCCAGTGCAAAAGCGAATTGAATAACAGTCCAAGTTATACTGTTATTGGAATGAAACAAGACATTCAAAACGTAGTAATATTAAATCGGTGACTTAGTATATTGGGCTTTTTGATATTTTATCACTTGACTACATACTTGTTCAAGATATTTGTCTAGTGCAGATAGAGATCTATTTATCTTTTTAGTACAAAATACTTTTATACAATCTCTGTTTTTGCATTGCTGTTGATAAACAAAATCGCTGTTTTTACACTGTCCGTGTGGTGACAGATTAAAAATACGGAGTGTCAACACCCCTATTCATCCCGTGGGTGTCGTAAGAGCTGACTAAGGGAGCAAACTACGCACGACAACAACACTGGAATGAGAAGGAAAACTTGGCACAAACCCCATACCAACCCGTTTGGCCAGTGTGGTATAGTAGGCCAAAACCTCCTTTAGAAGGAGAGGTCTATTTCCAGCAGTGGACTATTAAAGACTGTTGATGTGATCTAGTAGCTTCTGGCCAAAAGTAATGAACTATTAAATTTTTGCCATGATTATCTTCAACGCATCTTCTGCACGTATGGACTGGCTCGACCAGAATTATGTAATGGCCTCGCAAATCCGGTACTAAGCAACTCTTTACTCGCTTTTTAACGAGGCCAAGTGAGTGAGGATAGCGGAGGTATTCGCCCCCTAATAATCACTCTAAAGCTCTAACCACTATTAAGAATACCTTTGGAGCGTAACCACCCCTATACATCCCGTGGTTATCGTAAGAGCCGATTAAGGAAGCAAACTCTGCAAAAGTTATCCTGTAGCTCTCATAGTCTACTGCAGGACATAGGTCTCTCCTTAAAAAGGACGTTTTGGCCTACTTTACCACACTGGCCAGACGGGTTGGTATACGGTTTATGTCAAGTTTTCCTTCTCTTTGCAGGGCGGTGACACTCCGTATTATTGATCCGACACCACACGGACATATTTTAATTACTTATACATTATGATAATATTTTTATTCCAGAGAAGAGCAATTGATGTTCGATTCAAGTACGGAGTCGTTGCTGCAGATGTTCCTGCAGAATAATCCACAGACTGGAAACCTTGGATCCTTAGTTCAAGTGTTCATTACCAGAGCGACTGAGCTACTCGCCGCGCCCAACAGCGACAAGTAAGTCAAAACAACATTATAGCTTGAAAAAATAAATAAACTGAATATATTTAATTCTTGTCACCGGTCTTGTTGCGACATCTATACTCAATTGTAGCAAATGGCCTTTCTACGCTATGTTATTATCGTCATCTAGCGAAGAAAGGCCCAACTACGTAGTACTATTCCCGGCTTACGCAATGAATGTTTTGCGATGGGTAATCATGTTTTAATGTAGGAAGAGCAGTTCTATTGTTGGCGGGATAAAATTTAATCAGAAGTAGATACTTCTGATTAGATTTTTAATTTGCGTAGCAGCTGATTATTTCTTTAATGCTGTGTAAGGGACGAAAAGCTTGTACAAATTTCTTTCTGTTTTTACTTATCACGGTGTCATAATAAAAATGGGCGGTCAACTCTCGATTTCACAACTGTCATAAAAGGTATTTTCGTAGTAAGGTATTCAACATTCAAAGTTGACTGTAATGTGATTACGAGTATATCGTATTGAAACCGAAAATTGAATCGGTAATCTCTTAGTCTTAATAATAATGTAATACTTACTTTACTATTTTACTACGAAAATACCTTTTACGACAATTGTGAGATCGTGAGTTAATCGGAACTGAATTGTGACCAAACTTTTATTACGAGAATTGGCCCTCAGGTGACGTTTTTACGTTCCCGTCACGAAGACCTTTTGGTTTAGTTGCGCTTTTTGGTAGCGTAACAGAATTGTGACCGAAATTTTATTACGAACTCAAACTCAAAATGTTCCTTCTGATTACATTTATATTTGAATATAGTTTTAATTATAACACAGCAGTTTTTCAGCAGTATATGTAATTTATTAATATATTTGATAATTATGATTAGCAATTTGTTTTGAAATGTTTTTCCGTATTCTATGATTTCGTTTGTATTTGTTTCTTCGTTGACTCCTCTTATGGGACAGATCTTTTGAATGTAAATATTGAAGTCTTTTATATGGCAACATTCTTGTGAAAACCGTTCCAACTGTGTTCGTTTCGTATTTTCTTACTGTAACAATAAAATCATATGAATTATAGGCGATTTTTATAAAACATTTTTTTATATTATATCCATACTTAGATTATAAATATGAAAGTGAGTTTGTTTGTTTGTTACGCTTTCACGTCTAAACCACTAAACCGATTTAAAAAAATATATTTTACTAATGGATACTGAGCGTATACTGAGCTGGTAGCCCTTGCTACACTTTGTGCCAAAAATTTTTATAAAATTAATGTCGTGTTTTTGTATAGTACCTTGTATCCTTGTAAGTTTAATGTATCTAGTGTAGCATAATGGTTTAAAGGGTGTGCATGGGAGGCGGTAGTCACTTACCAGCAGATCACCCGCCTTCTCGTTTGCCCGATATGCTATACACATGGAAACAGTATTTCTTTTTGTAGAATGTGTGTACAATGGTCAGTCATCAATCATCAACAACAAACTATCTAGACATAGGCCTCTCCTTAGAAACGAGGTTTTGGCCTGCTATACCACGCTGGCCAGACGGGTTGGTACAGGGTAGGCATGGGACAAAATCACAGTGAACTGTGATAGGCCGGTGATTTATCATTCGATATTATCGTACCACTGTGATTTGGCCCATGTCTATTGGCAACAGTATTTCTTTTTTTAGAGGAAATGTACAATGGTCAGTCATCATTAATCATCAACAACAGCCATATAACAACAGCTCCCCTATGGACTCCTCTCCTTAGAAAGGATGTTTTGGCCTACTGTACCACCGCGCTGGCTAGACGGGTTGTTTCAAGTTTTCCTTCTCTTTGCAGTGCTGTTGTTCTGCGTATTTTGCTCTCTTAGTCGGCTCTTACGACACCCACGGGATGAATAGGGGTGGTGACACTCCGTATTCCTAATCCGTCACTCCAGTATTAAAAAAATCAACTTACAATGTCTATCTATTTTAACTTCACTGATAACTTTCTTACTATGCAAGTGTCTTGCATATACACCCACTGTCACACAAAGTATCAACAAAAATGTCTTCATATTAAAACAGTATATATTTTTAAATTTATTACACAAATGGGACCGAACCGACGATTGCACAAGCTCGAACTAAACAAATGACCAACTCAATAAAAGTTTATTTATTATGGACGCAGTGATGTTTTATTAAATAACGATATTAAAGGAAATAACATACTCGTATACACACGTAATAACTGTAATTGTTTACTTTATTTTATACGTAGGTACGTCACTGGAGGGGCTTTAACCGCAATTGTTCCCTATGTATCTGAAGGGGCCGGCAGAGAAGAATATATAACCGACTAGCTATTGCCCGCGGCTGCGCCATCGTAAATGTCGGTTATCGCGGTAAAACTTAACCTATGTCTTTCCTCAAGAATCAAAGTATCTCCATACGAAATTTCATGTAAATCGGTTATGCAGTTATTGATTCCCCATACAAAATTCCTTTCCTACTACCTATCCTATTTCCTTTCCCGGGACTCGGACTATCCCTATACCAAATTTCATCTAAATCGGTTCAGTGGTTTAAACGGGAAGATTTAACAGACAGAAACACTTTCGCATTTGTACCTTTTTTTTTTTTTTTTTTTTTTTTCCGTGCGGAAATCCCCTCGGATACCACTTGTCGGTGGCATGTCGGACTCGAACCGACTAAAACCGCACGCCTTCGCCGGGTACTAATAGCCGGGGAACCAGATATACCCTAGAAAGGAAGTCCCTACCTAAGTAACATAACTATTAATTTCAGTTCCAAATAGGACCTATACATTCGTAGTTTTTAATATAAAAATAAAAGAAACAATCTTTTTTCTTGAAATTTTTGAATATTTAAACTTTTTATCAACTTTGACATGCTACTGTGTAAAAAAATGTATGAAATGTACTATGGCATGTTATTACAAAAGTTAGCGCAACTCATCACAATTCTAAAATGGTGCAATACTATGACAACACTTGTAAAAATTCTAAGAATTCTCTTAACAAAAAGGATTATTTAGCTTAGTTTTTGAAAACATTACCTATTGTTCAAAAAAGGGTTTTGAGACTGTTTCAATGAAAGTCATAATGAGAAATTAAGATATTTATTGCGTACTTAAATTAAATGTTCAAATTGTTGACCATCTGCCTCAACACACGCGTGACAAAGCCTTAAAAATGATCTTTTAATGAGTCTCGCATATCCCCGTCTGTTCATATCTTCTGCAGCCTCCAAGATTCTTTGACGCAGTTCGTCAATTGTTGCAATTGGTTTGGCATAGATTTTGTCTTTCAGGTAACCCCAGTAAAAAAAATCCAGTGGATTTAAATCCGGAGAACAGGGCGGCCATGCAATGGGACCTAGACGACCGATCCATCGATCTGCATATTCTAGGTCCAAATAATTTCTCAGTGGACGTGCGTAGTGAGCTGGGCAACCATCGTTTTGGTACCACATATCTCTTAGTACGTTTAAAGGTACATCCTCTAGAAGATTCGGCAAAGTATTTTGCAGAAAATTTAAATAAGTTTCGACCATTCAAAATTGCTGGCAATTCAAATGGATCGATAATCTGACCATTAATCTGGCTTAACGTCGAATTTTGGGACACGTTGTATATCCATATTCTATACTAGTATAGAATATGGATGAATGGGAGAGTGTAACCAATACTTCGAACTGTTTTTGTTGGAAATACCATTTAATACAGGCTTTCCATAATTGCTTGTCGAAAACGAAGCCAGGACTTTGGAAATTTCTGGAATTTGTCCAAAGGCAACATATCATATCATCAGTCTAACAAGACAGGTCAGGTCAGGTCTAACAAGAAAATCATTCATCATTCTTGAAAAAATGTTGAACCGACTTCAAACTATAGTAACAAAGAGCACTAAACACCTAGCAGCAACCGTGGTTGATTTGCTATCATTTTTTTAAGACTTCCGTTGTCTATCTCCGAAACCCATCTCTATGAAATTTAAATTTGACCATTTCGCAATAAACGCCTTTCGAACAAAAAATAATTTTGAATTTTTATATGACGGAGTTATGCCCGAACATACATAAAAAAAACATCTGAGTAGAGAACCTCCTCCCATTTTATAGTCCATTAAAAATAGAATCTGATCTCTTTTAAAAATTCCACGTTTTATTATACGAATATATAATACGAACTACTTACCTGTGATTTTAATGAACCATTACGAGTACTAGAGAAATTGAAACTTATAACGAGGAATGGTTTTGTAACAATCACACTAAATTATGAAGGCGAATGTCTGTATGTTTGTTAGTTCTTCACGCTCAAACGGCTGGACTAATTTTGATTCTAACTAATTGGAAAAAATTCCAATGGGGATAGCTGGCTATATACACATAGCCAACTAATTATCTCGAAAAAATGTAGTGCTTCCATGGGGTTAGCAAGAAATTGAAATATATTGTCGATTAAGTAATACACGTTTCAGTGTATTTGTTAAACCGCGGTTAAACGCCGCGTGACGCAGGTTGTAATAATGCAAAGGTATGAGTGAAGAAAGGAGTTATTTACAATTCACACACATGTAAACGTATAATAATATACTTACAGGAACAACACAGACATGTGAACCTGATCAGGTATTTCGTTTGCCATTGTGAAGGTTGTTGTACTTATGACGTATGCTTGTTTACCAAATAAACAATCACATGTTTTTAAGAGAACTTTGTAAAAACAACGTGATTCACTTGTGTTTGTGTATTCATAGTTATTTTTCCTGTTCCCTGGCATTTCTAATAGCTCACATAGCATTGTAAACAGTGTAACCTGGTGCGAATTATCACAGCTCTGAGATCGATCTAGAAGAGGTTAGTCACGGTAGACTCCCTGACTCAGCCAGCCTGACTCCCTGACTCAGCCAGCCTGACTCAGAGTCAGAGTCAGGAGAGCCATGCTTACCGTGGGAGAGCCATGCTTCGGCACGAGTGATACATCTTTTCACTACAATTCTTTCGTTACCTTTCACTGAGTGAGTGAGGTTACCGGAGCCCAAATCCCCCCTCCCACTGACTCGAGCGGGAGGGACTCCAAAGGCAGCAACGCACATGTGACTTTTGAGTTGCAGGTGTCTATGGGCGGCGGTAGTTGCTTACCATCAGGTGACTCGTCTGCTCGTTTGCCGCCTTATACCATAAAAAAAGACCAAAAAAAAACAAGTGAATACAGATCACATCATTATCAATTTCCTGCCCTTCTTTCAATTGAATTAACTATTTTTACGGATGGCCTAGTGGTTTAGGCGGTCACCTCGCTGTATCCTACTGCTCGTGTTATAGATTTTATCGTCTCATCTGACAACACTATGTGTGATCCACAAATTGTGATTCTGAGTCTGGGTGTTTGTATCTGTTTCATGAATGTTTGTATAGTTCCTCCTAGTCAATTTTAGTGCCAGAGTTGTCTTTTTTAAACAGAGAAAATAGAGTAGCATGTATTATGACAAAAAAATAATATATAAAAGTATTATTTAATACTTCATTTTACGAGGAACGTGAAATAATTTATGTACCTATGATGTCACGATGCTATAAAGATCTTATTTACTGTATTTAACATTGAAAATTATAACGTACTATCTGCACCTTGCCACACTTCGCTGTGGCACAATGTGGTTCCACTGATAAGAAACAAGGACGAAACTGATGTGAAAAAATAGATAAGAGCTTGAGGGAGCCATGATTTTGCAGGTATGGGCTTTGAAACCACGGCCTCATGAAAAACTGGTCTTAATCTCAATGTTTACGGTGCATTTTACCGAGTGGAGGCCCAACCGCCTTCTCCCCACTCACACAAGAGGCTTAACCCCGAACATATTGTTTTTGTTTTATGATGCAACAAGTTAACGGGTCACATGATAGTAAGTGATCACCGTCGCCCATCGACACCTGTCACTCCCGAGTAAGGAGGGCGGGGAGGTACTTGTAAATAAATGATGAGTCATTTCAGACAAATATAAATCCGGCATTAGGCGCATTTTAGGTTAAGCTGATATCACAGGTCGTAACGCCAAACTATATGAAAATAATTTAATAAAAAATTAGAACGGTATGTTTTAATAGTTTATTGACCAATGCTTAGAACTAAAAATATCATGGTTTGTGTTTAGCTGTTTTTGAGATTTCATGTGATTAATAGATAAAATAAATCCTATGTTATCCATTGTTTATTATATTTGGAGTCAGGTTTGGTGAGTTGAAGTTGTGTTTGGAGTCGAGTTGAAGATTCCGATCAGCATAGAGGCAGGTAGATGCGCAGCTACATCGGCGCCTAAAAGAATAAAACTATATTTATATTCCATTAATATAAACGAGAAAATGTGTGGATTTGTAATAATAATAATATAAATATTTACACGTCTCACATATATATAAGCATTTGATTAATAATAATGTCTTAAAAAATATGGCAATAAGGAACTAAGACGTTCACGGGTTTTTATTACAGGAATCTATCAACGGATTATAAATGAAGAAAAAAACCGCGGAGTGCTATTAAATTAGAAGGTAGAAATCGAAGATAGGGATGAAAAACCACTCATTCTGTTTCTTTTCAATATATGTCGTAAACAAACCGAAATTTCGATATATCTCTTATGAAACTTTTTGTAGAGAATCAAATTTCTCATCGGAATAGTATTTTCTAAATATAAAATTAATTTTATTTTTCATGCCGACACAACCTTGAAAAAAAAGCGAAAATTTGATTTTTTAATCATTCTTTTTGGACTTAGATAGGTGTAGGCATTGCTTCAGATACAAAAAGAAGATTAAATTTCCTTTAAAATAGTACAGCACAACTTTTTTGAATGAAAATTGACCAAGGTATGGCCATTTTAACATGTGAATATTGTTTTACTCAATTAAAGTATTTTACGTTTATTATTTAGTAATACATGACAATTACAACAAATTAATGTTTGGACCAATGGTGCTACGATATTTCAACAATAATATTGTCAAACTGCATATCGATATCATATATTTAGTAATGTCGTCTTCTGCAATATCAGCTCGAGTATAAATGTGTTACTTAACTTCAAACTCGGATAAACCCACTCTACCTTCTTAGGAGATATCTAAGAATAAGTGAAAATAATCTTAATTCGATGATTTGAAAGTCAGTATTTTAGTATTATGACAACAGTGTTGAATAAAACGATTCTTTTCAGCAAATTCATTATAAAAGCCATCTATTTTTTAGAAAAATAAATGTTTAGATTGGATTTACCTACATATGATATAATTGAATGCGATTTATCTATCTTTGAAAAAACTCAGTGTGGATTTTTAGGACTTTGATTTAACAGATCTGGGTCTAGCTAGATTTGAAAAAATACGAATTTAACTAGGAATATGGTAGCGGCAAAATCACGGGCATACTATCGACTCTAAAATTTGTGATAGCTAATTTAATATATCAAAAAATAATACGGAGTAAATGAGACAATTAAGTTATATTTAAAAAAATGATTATTATTTTTTTACCAAAATGAAAATCTAAATATTTTGAACAAAATTTAATATTTCTTCTGAATCATCTTCGTCTCTCTGGATTAAAATTTCTAAACAATTATCGGACATTTCACACAATTCTATTATATTATAAGTTTATATAGCATGCAAAAAATAATAATTGCAAAACATATCCAGACGGCCAACTCCACAAGGCAAAAATTATATTTTGTTCATGTAAACCTACCTACACAAATATGTTCGAACAGTACATGTAATATTTAAATATAGATATCAATTAAAAACAAAAATTTACAAATATTAAAATTGAAAATAAGTACAACACATAAAGTAACGGCTCACTGTAACCAGATGGACCCCGAGGTGTTCGTGGTACAGTTTAATGTTTATAGCCAAATGTAGGAAACAATAGAAATAAATACCTTTTGATAGTTTTCGCACTTTTTTCTGAGCACCAACAATAACACACAAAGCCATGATAAATAGTATGAAGTGTAATATCCTCATATTAAACGTTCACTGATCTACGCTCTTGGGGAATCCACTTTATAATAAGATGTTTACATGTGTTGAACCATTTAAATAGGAGTTTCATTGATTAATGTATATTTTCCTTATAGAGTCAATATCTATCATAATATTGTACAGCTGAAGAGTTAATTCGTTTGGTTGAACGCGCTAATCGCAGAAACTAGTCGTTCGATTTGAAAAACTCGTTTAGTATTGGACTAGTGCTTGGGACTTCGCTCGCGTGGAATTTGAAAAACGCTGCCTTAATGGGTTCGATTCCAGGAATGGACATAATTTTATAAGGTATTTCTGAGAGAAAAAAATAGACTTAGTTACTCATTATATGTACTACTTAGTAGTAAAATATTATCAAAATCTGTCCAGCCGTTTTGAAGATTACCCGGAACAAACAGACAGACTAAAAAATATTTGAACTGGTTTTTAGGCATAGGTACCGTGCAAAAACCGTGTGAGCTTAAAAAAAATATATTTTGACATTACAAACAGACACTTTAATTTTATTTATTTGTATAGATAGCCCATTTATCTAGGAAGGCAATATAACATCATGTTACCACCAATAGAAACCGAGCATCAATAGAAAATGTTGCGAAAACAGGAAAAAAATATTCCTTTGACGCAGACGAAGTTGCTAGTCTTCTAATCCATATTTATATAATAAATGTGAAAGTTGTTGTATTGTTTGTTTGTTAGCTTTCACGCCTAACCAACTGAACCGATGTAAAACAATATTTCACCAATAGAAAGCTACATTACCAACGAGTAACATAGGCTACTTTTTACCGCGATAATCGATATACACGCGGGAGAAGCCGCGGGCAAAAACTAGTATACAAATATCATGTGTCAAGGTTGTGTCACTCCTCCGAAACTGCTCGACTGATTTTGACAATGATTTTTTTTTTGTATATTTGGTAGGTATGAGAATAGGAAATAGTCGTAAAGTTTGTTCACCCTCCTACCGCTATCCCCCCATTTTGATTTCTTTGATAATTTAATTGGCAGAACAACGTTTGACAGGTGATCTAGTAATTTATATCTATCCGTTTGAAACCATGTGTCTATGTATCGCGGTCATATAGCAAGATGATTTATCTATTTTAGGTGAATAAAATAGCAGTGTCTCTTTTGTTGTGATATCATCTTTTCTTGTTCACTTGCTATCGTCAAATATGTTTATGGTATAGGGGCAAATGACCACCGCCCATTGACACCTGCAACTCAAGAGTAACAAGTGTGTAGCCGATCTTTCAGTTCCTCCCCCCAAGAATCAGAGGGAGTTGAAAGATTTGGGTTCCGCTGACCTCAGTCACTCGGTAAAATGTAACCATAGACTGCTTAACATCGGTTTTCTGTGACGCTGTGATATCATGGCTCTCCCACGATTATGTTGAAACGAAAATGTTTTTTTTTTGTTACCCTCCCTCCCTCTAATTCTGATGATAAGGGACTCAAGAGGCACTTGTGAGACAGGTGTCGATGGGCGGCGGCAGTCATTTACCATCTGGTGTCTTGTCTGCTCGGGAGAGATCGTCATCTTAGCTTTCAACTCTATTCCCACCTTTACAAAAATACATGATTCTCTTTCTTTCTTTCCAGTGTGATGCTGGCATGGCAAACTTTCAACGCGTTGTTCGTGATACGAGCCGTCAGCAAGTATCTGGTCGAGATGGTCCCCGAGTATGAACTCTGTAGGCACTTGGATGTGCAAGCGGAGAGGAGAGTGGGTAATGGACCCGTGGACAGAGAGGGGTTGGAGTCTACGGTGAGTTAAAAATGAAGGAGGAAAATTAAATTTACGCCTTAATCTCTGAAGGGTTAAACAGATACTTTTTAAATATGTGTTATCATATTGCCAAATATAATATGGTGTAATACGACCCTACTCGACCCTGATCCTACGACAATCCTTACATATTATAAAATAAAGCCTCCCGGCCTCGTCTGTCTGTCTGTATGAACGCGATAAACTCAAAAACTACCAAACGGATTTATGTACAGTTTTCACCAATATGTAGTGGGATTCTTGAGGAAGGTTTAGTTGTATAATTCATGATGTTTTTATGTAAATTAACGAAAATATAACGATTGTTGTTGCAGTTAACGCAAAAAATTGTATGCTATATAACCCGGGCGAAAAAACGCTCACGGTTACCGAAAACCACGCGGGCGAAGCTGGGGACGGTAACTAGTAGTAAATAAACTGTTAATATAATTAACTAAAATGTTATTAAATTTTACCTTTTTTTTTTCCGTGCGGAAATCCCCTCGGATACCACCTATCGGTAGCATGTCGGACTCGAACCGACTAAAACCGCACACCGTCTCGGGTACTAATAGCCGGGGAACCAGGTATACCCTAGAAAATTAAATTTTACCCTAAAACGCCCAAGACACCGTCGTTTCGCTAGTGAAAATATAAACTCCCTAACCATACCCGGGAGGGTATGTGGTAACGTTTACTTGTGGCGCGTTATGGTTACGTTTATGAGAAATGAACAACAAAACTGACGCGAAAAATAGATAGAAACAAACTTTGAAGAGGATTGTGAATCGGTTCAGAAAATTTAAAACTTGCACAAACCGGTTTAACATTTTTATGTGTATAGATTTCAATTTAGCTAAATTTTGCAGAACAAAAATCAAGATTTATAGGGAAAAAGTGCTAATATTAAAGAAATTATTCTCGGTATATTGATTCTTTCCGTCTTAACGGTTTATGTAACCATTTCTCAATGTAATATTTAAGGAAAACACACGATACGAATAAAATATTTCTAATATTTACAATTTCTTTAGTTTTATCGACTAAACAATGTGTCATGGCGGCCTGCGTTTCTCATTTCGAAGTTTATTAAGTTATTTATCGATTTTTTTTGACTAAACTATTAACTAATATGTTTTTTTTTTATTATCAGATCCATCATGACATGATGATGATGATAATGATACAATCGAGCTCTAAAGAGTTTATTTCATCTAAAAGCTTTTTAATATTCTCACATTTTCACAGTCACCAGAACAGGAGTCATCAGCACTTCGACCCTCTTCAACTCCCGAGGTTGAAGCTCCAACATCTCCTAAGCTGACTGGTAACGACAGTCGGGTGGAGATGCTGATCGATGCGCTCATTGGACTTATCATCGATGTTCCTGTGACGTGAGTGGATTTTAGAATATTTTATATGTAACTACGAGTATTATTGTTTACTAAATAATTTACTTGGCACCCCACCACTGTGCAACAAATTGTAGCATGCGGTATTTCCAGACCGATACAACGTTCAAAGAAAAGTACGTCACCACCACTCACTTGTGCACGGATGGCGTAGTAGTTGAAGTGGTCGCCTCGCCGCTTCCTACTGCGCTGAGTGTTGTGGATTCGATCCTCACATATGACTACACTTTGCGTGATCCACAAATTGTTGTTCTGGGTCTTCTTTGTGTCCGTTTGAATGAGTGTTTATAAATTCTTCAGCGACACAGGATATATTAATAAAGCGGGGGTTTAAAATAAAAGCTTTACAAGTGTCTATGGGTGATGATAGTAATTTCCCATCAGGTGGCCGGACGACGGACACAAAGAAGATCCAGAACAACAATTCGTGGATCACACAAAGTATTGTCCCATCATGGGATCGAACCCACACCACTCAGCGTAGTAGGAAGCGTGACCGCTTAAACCACTACGCCATCCGTGCAGTCGTTGCCCCTGGAGCCTGCTTGTTTGCCCCCTGTTATAAAAAAAAGAAAACCATGATGTGATGCAGTCAAAAAAAAATTGCACCCAAAATTTATCTTTCTTACGTTTTCAGTCTGAAATTATTTTAGATGTCAGCAATTATTTCGCAGCATGTAATGTATACGACCAGCATAAAGCGTGTTGTGTTTTAAACAGGGTGTTAAAATTATAGACCCTTATATTACAAACAATTCCGTGTGTGTTAAGAATACTGAGCGTCATCCTTATTCACCCCCTGGGTGTCGTAAAAGCCGACTAAGGGAGAAAACTACGCATGACAAGAAAACTGCTAAGAAAATTAAAACATTTAACAAACCCTATACCAATCCCTCTGGCCAGCGTGGCATAGTAGGCCAAAACCTTTTTTCTAAGGAGAAGATTTGTCTAACGAATACGGTAAATTTTATTTCACATTACACGTAAAGGGATCGAACATTATACCAGAAACACTTCAATTGACTTTTCTATTGATGAATTGACAATTCTATTGATTATGCATCGATCTACCCCGCCCCCTGTTCAATCATGTTCCAATAAATTATCGTTTCATACGAAAGCTTGGAACGTGATAGGTTAGGGTACTTGGCTTGATCGATGCGTCACTCTGTTCTTAAAGCGAATGGATTATAGTACAAAAACCCAATAACAATTTATATTTCGAACCGAACCCAAATTTATTCGCGGTTCTGGGTTCGTTATTCGAAATTGGACAACTTGGTAAGTTGGAAAAAAGTTGCCATTCAAATTATTTCTTTCTTTGTAGCTATATTTTCATATCTTAATCTTTTCTCTTTGCAGGGACAACACATACTACCTACACCTAGAATGTATAAACACGATTCTAGTACTTATGTCTGTCTACATGTTCGCCGGCGTCCACGGACAGACTAGACTTGTGGATACTTCCTTAATATACAGGTAGTTTTAATATTTACATATGTAAACATTTATTGTGTTCTAAGTTAATTCAAACTCAAAATCTTTATGTTATAAAATTGCTCAATAATAGTGAGAAATAGTCATATTTAAAGTCAGCGCCATCTATCAGTGACATGTTGAACTACTGCGTACTTAATATTCCTGCAACACGATATTAATGTTCACCGTGGTATATAGGGGCGTGGACCTCATGCAATATTATGTATTAGTAATTAACTTGCAATAGATGTCTTACTTTATGAGTTGAAAAGGCAATCCTTGTATTCTACATTTATTTTCAGAACTCTGTTCCAAGGGCGCTACGGTATGCACGCACCGCTTTTAGTAAAAACACTGCTGAACAATTTGTGCAGCATGCAGGCTGCGCCACCGAGCATGTTTGGCGCACATGCTGGCGGTGGTAGTCTACTTATAAATTTAGCCTGTGAGTGTTTTTTTATTTTTTTTCAGTATTTAAGATGATGTTAATATATTCGATAATTTAGAACTGAGAAAGTCTTGAGTTATATATGAATTATTTTCAGTTTTAGATTGACTAAACTGAATTCAATTACGTAGGATGTTTCGGGTCCAGTTTTGACGCTGGACTAAATTAAACATGTTTCAAGAATTTCTGAACAAGCTTTAAAGAGTACTGATTTGCTACAAATTAGATGAGAAGAGCAGGCTTAAACCACCCTGCATTATAGTACAGGTATAAATCTGTCTGGTACTGGTTAAGGTACTGCGCTGAATGTTGTGGGTTCGACCCCCACATGGGACAACACTTTGTGTGATAGATTTGTAAAGTTCCACGCGACGATTTAGTAGGGCGGGAGTTGTCTTTTTATGAAAGAAAAAAAGCACATGACGGCCTATACTTGTCGTGGTTCCAAGAGGTAGCAGCGAGCCTTATGTCTTAGTTCGATACTCACGCGCATCGTTGCATTGTTCGATATATCATTTCGTTCCTCATTTTCTAAGTAAAAAACACGAAATAAGAAATAACTTTGTGATTTCTTCGGACACTAGTTAGTTTATTTATAAATCTAATGTAATTTGGTCTTTATGACTAATATCATATTTATTTTCCAGCGGGCCTTTGGAACATGATAACCTTCAACGCCAGCACCCGGCAGACAATCTACACACATCCTCCCCTAGATCGAGCAGAGTTACAGGAAAGGGTGAAAAAAGAACATCCCTTGGCTAATCAGTCGTGTCTGCTACTCCTGACCCTCGCGAATCATTGCATGAATGCTGATAACCTTTACAGAAACGCGCTGCTATGTTGTGAAGATACCGCAGGTTAGATAAACGGAAATGCAAATAACAATTGTGGTGAAACCCCAAGCGTCTTCTTACCGTGTGGTGACGGATTAAAAATACGGAGTGTCACCACCCCTGGCTGTCGTAAGAGCCGACTAAGAGAGCAAACTATGCAGGACAACAGCAATGCAAAGAGAAGGAAAACTTTAAACAAACCCATACCAATCCGTCTGGCCAGCGTGGTGTAGTAGGCCAAAATCTCGTTTCCAACGAGATGCCTATGTTCAGCAGTGGACTATTATAGGCTGTTCATGATGATGCTTCTTTAACCCAATCCTACCATTGTAGACAAATGAGGTGTAATATCTTTAATATTACGAAGTTGGCTCTCATACCGCGATGCAGAATTAGTAGTAACTACGTAGTTCATTTTGCTTTTGACAGATGGCGTTAGTTATGTCGATACACTTTTTAAGCTTTAACGAGTGGTATTAAAAATATATACATATATATATGATGTTTTACAGAAACGGCGGCTCCTACACCACAAAGGGAGTCGAATGGCAGTTCACAAGTAACACCTCCACGGATCGATATAGCAGCCGTGAGTATCTTATTGAATATCAGCTGATCTGATACATGTTGCCCTGTCAATGTGTCTTATACATTTGTTAACCGACTTCAAAAAGGAGGAGGTTCTCAATTCGATTAGTTTTTTTTTTTATGTATGTACACCGATTACTCTCAGATTTATGATCCGATTTACGTGATTCTTCTTTAGTTTGATGCGGAATAGTTGCCATTTGGTCCCATAAAAATTTAACATAGTTAGGCCCAGTAGTTTTCATTTTATGAACATTGTTAATTAATATTATTGTTTACACCCATTTTAGGAGTTTTTCATTTAAGTTGATTATATATTATTTGTTATCGTTTTCATTGCACACTCTATACACAATGACAAATTTCAAATCCAAAATGTGTGTCAGGGTTTTTTTTTTCTTATATTTATATTCTGCATTCAAAAATCTAGCCCGATAAATCGTGATGTTTTGAAGTCAGATTAGGGATTTTCTTAATCCATCTCTTTTATTCTTTCTTACATTATAATTTCTTTAAATATAATTTTCCTGCTATTCCAATACATATTTTTTCTATTGGCAATCCCAAATATCTATCTATGAGGATCTGTCATGTGATAAGTGTTTTATTTTGTTATTTTTTACAGCTCCACAAAGCGCTCTGTTCCACGGCCGGGTGCGAACACTCGACCCTTCTGCTGTACCTGATGCTGCATTCGTGTAACGTATACAAACGGCATATCAGCAACGTTGCACAAATAGACCAGCTGGTAAGTGTATTACACATAAATTGTCATTAACAGCCTTTATTAGTCCACTGCTGGACATAGGCCTCTAGTTAGAAAGGAGGTTTTGATCTACTATACCACGCTGGCCAGACGGGTTGTTATAGGGTTACGATTTTGTTTCAAGAGAAGGAATCTCTCTGCAGTGCTGGTGTCTAACTTAGTTAGTTTGCTCCCTAGGTCGGCTCTAATTCTAGGGGAGATTGACCTTTGGATTCATGAGCAGCGTTAGGCACTTCCTATCGATGACCTGTCTGCTCTCTTGCCCCCTTTAGTATAAAAAAATATTGTAATAAAAAAAGTTATTTTTTTTTCAGATAGTACCAATCCTGCAGGTCCTGTACAACGCGCCCGACAATAACTCACATCACATATACATGTCGCTAATAGTACTACTTATATTGACGGAAGACGAAGCACTCATCAAGAATGTACATTTAATTGTAAGTACACCTGACTACCTCTTTGAAGTACTGCTGTCTAAGTCCTTGTAAGTATACCTTACCCTGACCCTTTAGCACAGGGATTCCCAAAGGGGTCGATATCGACCCCTTGGGGTCAAAATCGGTTGCCAGGGTTCGCCATAAAGGAAAACTGATTTTGAGGGTCGACAAGGTCTCAAAATTGACCGCTATTAATTAACACAAGTTCTCATTCGAAACTTTGTGTTAAGTGTACTAACTTGTTATAAGAACTATTATTTTATATTATTTATTTTATTAATGACTAATATTTTAGTGGGAAGTATCATTTTTGTACTTTTAAAAATCTCAACAAGTCGATAAGCGTGCAGTAATTTGGCTATAAGGGTCTGAGGTATTAGTTCATTTTAGAAAAGGGGTCTCTTGCCCGAAATACTTTGGAAATCCCTGCTTTATCACCACTGTAAATTCTAACACCCGGCCGTCTGACCCCAAACTAGACATAGCCTGTACTATAGTAACCAGACTGCAGATAACCATCCATACTTATATTACAAATGTGAAAAGTGAGTTTGTTTATTTGTTACGCTTTTACGCCTAAACCACTTTTCCCGCTTTCCTTTTGTACTGTAAACTTTCTGCCTATCTCTGTATTTACTCTTTCTGTGCTTGTGAATAATATATGTGACATATCTACTGTAAAAAGTGTTTTTAAAAATATTTGCTAACTTTACCCGCTATCGTAGATACGAACGATTCTACAGATACACATTAAAAACTACTTTGTTCGCAGATGTTAAAAAATCTAACATGGTACACAGAACGCGCTATCTCGGAGATATCTCTCGGTGGTCTGATGGTGTTGGTGATACTCAGGGCTCTGCAGTACAACATGGCGAGGGTGCGGGACAAGTATCTGCACACTAACTGCTTAGCGGCTATAGCTAATATGAGTTGTAAGTATTTCATATTATTTTTTATTCTGTTTTACCTTATACCGATATTGTTGCAACAATTTGTAAAAAGGGGGGGAATCTTGGTGACCTAAAATACAGCCACATACGCCTACTTAAGGCTCCTGGTTTCCACAATGTAATCTGTGTAATCTGTTATTCGTCGTAACTGTAAGCATTTTTATATTGTACTAGTTGTACCCTGTCACACTTCGCCGTGGCACGATGTGGTGTCGATGAGGAATGAGCAACAAAACTGTCCTGAAAACAATATTTGAAGCTGTTTGTATGTTTTATCAAAATTTGAGCTCAATTGGTGCAGAACCTTTTGAGTTTTTAAAGCATACCCAAATCGACTTCATATTTACACAAAAGCTAGTAAATAATATTTTAAAAATGTTTATTTATTATTAAATACATATATATAATTTAACACGTAACTATACATGCTTTTGTCTATAATAAGTAAGACAACATGAACGGTGTGAATTTATTTATAACTTGTACATTGCTTATAACATGTATAAAAATACTCGCTGATAATGTAACTCTCCATTGGTGAAAGAATTTTTAAAATCGGTTTAGTGGTTTAGGCTTGAAAGTGTAACAAACAAACAAACTCACTTCTACATTTATAATTTAAGTATGAATGGATTATATAACGATATAGTAACCAAAATTAAAACTCAGTAAATAAAATATTTGTCCCATGAGTAAATTACTATTTTTTCAGGTGAATTTAGAAATCTACATCCGTACGTGGCTCAAAGGTTAATATCACTATTCGAAACGTTAACGAAACGGAGAGCGAGACTGTGCATTGAAATCGAAGGTAAGACATAATGCATATTATTAATATATCATAGTATTGTCGTTTGTACTCGTACGTGGGAGAGCCATGTTTCGGCACGAATGGGCCGGCTCGACCGGAGTGATACCACGGCCTTCTACCTCTGAAAGCAATTCTTTCGTTGCCTTTCACTGAGTGAGTGAGGTTACCGGAGTCCTAATCCCCCCGCTGACTCAAGCGGGAGGGTCTCCAGGGGCGGCAACGCACTTGTGACCTTTGAGTTGCAGGTGTCCATGGGTGGCGGTAGTTGCTTACCATCAGGTGACCCGTCTGCTCGTTTGCCCCCTTATACCATAAAAAAAACTTAGACACGGCTCGACCGGAGTGATACTACGGCCTCACAGACAACCGCTGTTCAACAATTCATTCGTTTGAATACATCTGGCGAAGGAGGGTACAAAAGGCCCCACCTCCTTCCTAATTCTAGGGAGGGGGCTTAAAACTCGACAAAGCACTTATTTTAATAATATGCTTCATTTGTAGATGGAATCCTTTTCACACAACATGCTCCATTTGTCTTATTTGATACAAATGTTGTTTTACACTTTTTTGGTTTCCTTTTTCCTTATATATTGTATGTTTATGTTCATTTAATATATATATATATTATATTCTACCACATTCACACAATGCTATCTAGCCCCAAACTAAGCAGAGCTTCGACTATGGGTACTAATCAACTTAATATATATATATATAATATACTTTTACATTAAATATATTATAATTGCAGGTGGAGATATAAATACATTAGAGTTACCGCATGTGTCTGAAGAGAAAACAGAAGAAATTGTAAGTTGTATTATTTCTTTTTAAATTAGAAATGGTGTTTTTTTCTTAAATTAGAAATAGCTGAGTCTTTTCTTTAATACTTCATAAATAGGCTATGTATTGTATTAAAATGAATACAATGTGCTTATGTAGATACAGGTCTGCACGAATGGCGTAGTGGTTTAAGAGGTTGCCGCGCCGCTTCCTTACAACGCCGAGTGTTGTGGGTTTAAACCCCACATGGGACAACACTTTGTGTGATCCACAAAGTGTTGTTCTGAGTCTGGGTGTTCTTTGTGTCTATTTCATATATGTTTGTGAAGTCCTCCGCCACACATAAAATAATCCTAATGCGGGAGTTGTCTTTTTATATAAAAATAAAGTTATAAAAAATAAAATAAAAACAGGTGTAAGAAGTTATCAATTGTTAATTCCAGATGGACCACATAAGCGTCTTAGACGAGGTGTTGCGCATGCTCCTTGAGATAATCAACTCGTGTGTGGCCCATCAACTCTCCAACAACTTGAACGTCGTGTACGCGTTGTTGCACAAGCGACATCTCTTCCAACAACACGAACATCATCACCCTGTAGCGCAGAATATTGACATGGTACGTTCATCACAAAACTATGATTAGTTAAACTAGAGGGCGCTGTATAAAGAAAGAGGATAGTTGAATTGCGCTAACATTTTACTCACTAAATATTACAAAGTTTAAAGCGTTTTTATTGCAAAAATTTGGTATAAAAACGCTTTAAACTTTGCTTGAAGAGTGGAGTTTATAGTGGCCAAAATATATTTTATATGATTTTTTGAAAGTGTACTTCGACTGTCCACCATTTTAGCTTTTGCTAGCGCAATTAACGTACAAACCCGAACAGAAAAACATCAGTTGACCTGATTTATAAAACGATTATTTTTTTAAATATTATAGGTTATAGGCTACTTCTCAACGCGGTTACAACGTGTACAGGAGGGTGCTGGCGGTGATCTCGGGGTCACTGAAGTGCTGCAGTGCATCAAGAAGGGCGCTGAACAGTGGTCCAGTGATAGGTTAAAGGTGGGGACAGCTTCAATTTACACTATTTCTAGTATATACATTTTATATCACTAAAATAACAAACAAGTACACTTATGTTGTATTGACATAAGCACAATCGCTAACAGTATATAATAATATAAAGCAGCTTTAAACCAATCATCCAACCATCTATGTATCTCTATTACAGAAATTTCCCGATTTAAAATTCCGTTACGTCGAAGAAGAACGCCCTGAAGAGTTCTTCACGCCTTATGTGTGGAGCCTGGTGAGCTCGTGCGGGGGGGTGTACTGGGCCAGTGAGGGGGGCGCCAGAGCCCTGGGGGACCTGCTGGCGTGCTGATCGACATTTAAAATGACAATATAATTTCGTGTTCATATAAGTGTGGTATACCATGCTGTGTATATATCTCGTGAGACATAATACAGTTTTGTAACAAAACTATTTTTCATTAAATTTACGATATGCAATATATTTTTAGAATACCATAGGGTAATAGAAATGAGTGCAAACAAACTCACAGCCCAGGCATTTCCTTATTATCTTTTATCATTATTTTAATTGAAACAATAGGGTCCATTCCTAGCCTTGAAATAAATTATTTCGTTTAAAATCTGTCTTCCATTCAATGTTTTTATATTTTCAAATCAACAAAATTTAACAATGGCTAGGTTACGACGTCACGTCCTAGTATTTTAAACAAAAATGTACCGCGTCTAATGTAATTTGATTAAAAATTTATTGTCATGTCAAAATTAAAATATTGTGTTCTTGTACAATTGTTACAAATTATATTATTTGTGATAAGTTTTATGTATTTATAGTTTAGAGAGCGAGGCGGCACGGAAACGAATGAATATGCCTTTATTACAATATCCTAATATAATATTAAACTAAGTATTAATCGATTATGTTTTATTATTTCTCGACCTTACCTTTTACAAAAAATTGAGTTAGATTAGTGTAACGTTAAGTCGCGTTACTGGGGAAAATCTTTGACTATTGAATACCATTTCACATGTCACTACAATATGCCAGAATTAGAGCGAGACTATGTTGTCAATTGTTGAGTCGGCCCATTTGTGCCACACACGGTTGATAATCATCAAGTACTCTGTGGCGACTACCACATACAGTGAAACAAACATACTACAGCGCCATCTAAAGAAGATACTCCGAACTACAGAGTAACTGCTAATCCTGTATCGCGATATAAATAATTCACACGCCGATTAGGATATATACAACTTTTCAACATCAATCGTTGGGCCGCGGCCTGCCAGGCAGGTTCACCTCACATCCGTGCCTACACAATTTAAACTCGGGGGTTTTACGTGCATTTGTAATTATTTTTATACATTATTTTCTAATACTGGAGAACATAATAATACTTGTCACAGTTCGCAATTTGGCATAAATACCTTGTGAACTGGAAAAGAAAATTTATTTGCCAACACACTTAAATAAGTCCATTCTTAATAACAGTCCAAAATGATCGCTGAGGCCGCTGAGTTACTCCTCTGTTCGCTTATATCACTTCGATGTTTAGTGCACTGAACTGTCTTGCCTGTATTTATACTACTTGATGGACTACTACTCAAACTCGGGGGTTTTACGTGCATTTGTAATTGGGAGAGTCTAAGTGTAACTATTATTTTTTATACTCGAGATCATATTAATACGTGTACGCTATTTGGCATAATGCCTCCCCCCAGAAGTCTTAGGTTTAGGATATGGTATAGTGAAATATATCAGAAAATAAGGCAACTACAACCTCTTTAAGGCTGAAATTTATAAAGCGTACTTAGACTTTGCTCAGACTTTGCTTACGCTAAACTTACTTAAGTTCCTGCTCAGTGTAATCTTAGCATTCGAATTTATAGTCCTCTTGGGCTAAGAATTTACTGAGTGTATGCTAAGCAAGAGCTCAGGAAAAATTTTTAAACGTTTCGATTTGCATAGCATATTAATTTAAATTCTTGGTATTTCAAAAATATATTATTTTTAAAATAGCTGTAATAACCTAAAATATTAGTAATCTAATAAATTTTATCATATTATTGTATTTCAATCAATTAACACCTTTAGTTTTCATTGATTTTAAGTGATAAAAGGCAAAAATAACACATGTGGGCATTTTCATAAAAATGTACTTACACCTTGAAAAATAACTTTTTTTGAAAGTATTACTTTTAATGTTGTATTTGGTCTCAATTGAAAGTATATTAATTTTATTGTATTTATATTATCTCAAACATGTTGTTTAAAATGGAGTTATTATGAAAAATACTAAATACGACTGAAAGTGCTAAAAATTTAAGTCAGTTTTGTGACTATATTCAAAGGTTGAAAAACAATGTAGAATTAAAGATTTTGTCAAAAGTTTTCAATTAAATACATAACAAATGACCATTATTCCTTAAAAGACAAATTTTGCATCCAATTATAGTAAACAAGGGTCTTAAAATAAAATAAAATCATCAGTTGTGTGACTTTGGGTCCCTCATCCCTGCTAATCATTGAAACTACTGAATATATATGGCATGTGAGAATAAAAAACTATTGTAATTAGAAGAATTAACACATTATTATTGAGGGAAAAGTGTTTTACTTATGTTTAAACAATAATTTTAGAAACAAAAAGTACATCTTTATAAAAATAATAAAGGACAGTGACACAACTGAACACTTAGGATGCGTTTACATGGTGCGAGAAATCGACGCATCTTTGCCAACGCATTGGCAGTTTATTGATGCCCTTCTTGTAAAAATCAGCTGGACGGGAGGCAACAAACTCTTCAAAGGCATTTTGTACTGCCTCTCAGGAATTGAATTTTTTACCCACTAAAAAGTTGTCTAAATTTTGGATAAAGTAATAGTCGGTAGGTGCAATTTAGGTAGGCAATTTTCCGTTGATCTTCGGCATCTTTGGCAGTCATCTCTGATATTTTCTTTTTCTTAGTATTCATTCGTTGCAAATTTCTATTGCATTGAGTTTTATATTCTTCCGGGCGCGTTAACTTTAATTTCTATTTATAGCGCCTAGTTTTTTCAGCTTCTGTAAGAGGCATCTTGCCACACCTAAAATATTATTGTTTAAATGAGCCCATAAATTAGTTAATTTTAAAATAATAGTCAGTCTGTAGAATTTATAACAGAAATAATACAAACAATGAAACGAAAATAAAAATATATATATTTAATTATATTGTAACATATTATTAATATTATAATAAATACTACAAAGTAAATTATACATGTCTAACTAAAAAGCGGGTAACCTTAATGGATAAGGTAAAAGTCTTACGATCTCATAAGAGGTTCTGGTTTCCAATTCCACCCACACTACGGCCGTAAATTCACTCTAACACTAAGCACAATGTTAGCTTAGCTGGAGGGGTTATCAAGAATGCTAGTATTGTGCTATCTAAATAATATTTATAACCTTTAAAAAAAACTATATAAATAATTAATGGAGATAAAAGTATTTAAGTTTTATCATTAAGCATAATACTTACATATCTTGCTAAAGTATTTTGTTCAACAAGTTAAATTCGCTAAGTACGGCAGTGGTGCCATGTAGACAGCGCTTTATATGATCAGTCATGATGTGACTTTCCGTTCCGTTTATATGTGACCGTTCAAATAGTCACACAATGGAGGTCACATGTTGGTATCCTGTAGTATATAATATTATTTTTAAAAATAACCACTATACATAGTTTTCTACTTTTTAAACTAACTTATAAATAATACAAATACCAATCGAATATACTGAACACAATTATATAAATTACTATAAAAAACACTCAAAAATGGTCACATACCTGAATAAAAAATTCGTTCTTGTCTTGACGTGCACTGAACACTCCTTCTGTAGCACTTTTTTGACACTAACGAAATATTAAAAGAACATTTGATAGTAGATCAAGGTTAGTGTTGCCAAATTACTAGAAAAAGTAACTACTATCTCTATTTTTCAATAGAAAAATCAGGTCACAAAACTGAATGTTCCGGATGGGCCCATAATTTAGATTCAACTTTGATGATGATTTATAGATATAATTTATTTGTAGTGAATAACATTATTGACACTATTAAAAAGAATCTATTATGCTAGATGCAATTAGCAAAAACTAAGGAATGCTTTTCATTAAAAAAAAATGACCATTCCATTAATTGTCGACGGGATTGAGCAGGGGACACAACGAAATGCATTTGTCACGAATGGTTAAAATATTTTAATTTAATTATGGTAGGTTTTATACTATCGTAATTTATTTTATGTTGAAGATGTATATGTAAATAATCACTCTAAAATTGCATATAAATTTTCAAATAAACCAATTCAATAAAATTTAATTTTGAATTTAAGGGACAGTTGAAATAGTGGGTGTGTACATTTTTGTGAAAACCCTCATGTACAAGTAAAACAAAACGTACGTTTATGTCATAACAATATTTGAGGTTGTCTCGTCTCGAGTTCATTCGCAAATATATCAATTTCTTGTATTAACTTTTTATCTTGACCCTGGCACACCCTTACGGACTTCTGTAACAACGCTTTCGAACTAAATTACGGCTTTTCTTCCTGGACAATCGAACCATCTTTTCACATTGACTCTGGCATATTTCACGGACTTTATATACTTTTCTTGCGGATTTGGTTTTGGTTAACGATGGAGAACATCGATAGAATTGAAAATGTTCTGTCTAGAATAGATAGAATCGGCACATCGGCACTGGATAATGTTCGTATGCCTAAAGCTTATATTCGCCATGAATATAATCAAGATCCATATAATTTGTGCGACGATCAATTTAAAAAAAGATATCGATTTACAAAAAATACGGTGAAAAATGTTATTTTGCCACTAATTGCTGACAAACTGAACCACTATGATAATAGATGATTGCCAATAACACCAGAAATACAAATACTCATTGCATTAAGGTTCTATGCTACTGGAACTTATCAGGTACGATTTTATAGTTGTCTCATTTTATACTAGATTCGTAAGACTGTACACTTACTCCATAGATCTTTACCTCAATCAGATCATGTCATACCACCTGGCATGACCGTTAACTTTTTTCTTGTGTCTTTAGTAGGTTAGAGCCCCGTGGTGTTACCCACGGTACAACAACAACCACAGATATATAACCTATTTTACTCGGGGATGATTTAGCTTTCTAATGGTGAAAAAATATTCTAATCAGTTCAGTAGTTCCGGAGCCTATTCAAAGCAAACAAACAATCAAATCTTTCCTCTTTGTAATATTCATTTCTATATATTCATTAATATATAGATAAAAATAAATCAGCTTTCTTTTTAGATTCTTTTAGAATGTTTACTATTTTTCCCCACAGTTTTGCATCAAATCAGTATAGGAGCAATAAGTCCTAGCTATATGAAATTTATTTCTTGGTCTATTGTCTGTCCCAGTAGTATTTTTAAATAACTTTTCTGTTTCAGACTGTTTGTGGAGATTTATTAGGCTTGAGCCAATCTACAGTGTGCATCATCATAAATAAAGTTTCCAGAGCATTAAGTCAACTTTTACCACAATTTATTAAATTCCCAAACCAGCTACAAAATGTCAAACAAAAATTTGAAGAGTTGGGTAGAACCAACCAACTACATGGACTTAATAATATAATTGGAGCAATAGATTGCACCCACATTAAAATAAATAGACCAAGAGGTATAGCTCACTCTGAAGCATACAGAAATAGAAAATCTTATTTTTCCGTTAATGTCCAAGCCGTTGTAGGTCCCGATATGGAAATTTATGACCTTGTTGCACGATGGCCTGGAAGCGCTCATGATAGTCGGATATTTAGAAATAGCCGTGTTCATGCACGTTTGGCTAGTGGACAATTGCAGGGAGTCTTGGTGGGTGATAGTGGATACCCATCCATGCCATTTATTTTAACACCCTTGATACAACCAACAACACGTGCGGAAAATAATTACAATTATGTACAAATAAGGACAAGGAACATAATAGAAAGATTTTTTGGTGTCTGGAAGAAAAGGTTCTCATGTCTGCAATTGGGCCTCAGAAACAAATTAACAAATGTGTGCAATATAATTGTTGCTTGTGCAGTGCTTCACAATATTGCAATAAGAAGCAGAGACAATTACTCAATTGTAGAAGAAGATGCACAGCAAATTGATGAAGTGCAGTTAAATTCAAGAATGTCATCAGCTGCAGGATTAGCTTTTCGACAATCCATCGTAGAAACTTATAATTGATAAAGAAATAAAAATCATAATATTAAGTTCTTAGTTTTTATTTAATTCTTTCTTCAACAAATCTCTTTTTAATTTTAATATTTCCAGTTCTACTGCATGTTTTTCCTGATCTTGCTCTATCTGTTTAGTAACTTTTTCAATTTCTTTTTTCACAAGTTCCTTTTTTAAATCCTCCAGAGATTGTTCCGGTTTTTTTTTCTTTGCTGGAGCTGGTGCTAGTTCCGGGGTTGTGGGCATTGTAAGCCCCTGGAGAGAACAACCCGGTAGAGTATTAAGATCTTGTACCTCTTCTCCGAAGACATGAACTTCCATGTCCATCATTCTATTTTTTTTGTTTTGCCAGTAAACACCGTCATCATCATTTGTTTCACCTGAAACCAAATAAGATATCATTACTTACAAATAACTAGATGCTGTATGTGTATGTATATGTAATTAAAACAAAGTTGTTAGTACTACATATTTATAATTGATGCATGGCTAGACAAATCTTACTGAAATTTGGCACAGCTAGATTATAGTCTGGAACATCACATAGGCTATGTTTCACCCCACATGAACAAGAAATTCCCACACCAACGGGAATATCTAGAATGTTACAATGCCTGGACATTTAATTTATAGTAACAAAATGAACAACTAATAAATATAAATTATTAGTGAGTACTTACTAAATTGCGAGGTGCTTGATTGGATTATATCACTATCTATCTCAACTTCAATTGTTGGCATTACAGTTGGTAATATAGAAAGGACCTGGGTCTCTTCGGATCCTATAGCCGGAGGTGCAGGTCCACCACCAGTCCATTTTTTTTGGGCTTCTAAAGTTTTAGCATCTCTGGCCTTCGTTTTTAGATTTTGCCACATTTTTTTAAGTTGAGCAGCATTCGCCTAAAAATAAAACAGATAATGTAAAGAGAGAATGAGGTTATTAAAATCCCAAGTAGGTGGATATGTTATTTACTACTTTATTCTCTAGAATTTTAACTTACTCGCTGGGATACGTTAGGCGAGTTATTGTAGTGGCATGCAATATCCTCCCAGGCTTCTGTCTTCTTTTTTTGGGATGTACCATCGGTCTTGCGATTCTCCACTATGTCCATTTTCGTCGTCACCAACTGCATAAGCAGTTGTTTTTCAAATTCACTGTAGGGCTTCTGTTTTTTTTTCTTATCGTCGGTGTTCATGACAATAGTAATCGGTGTCCGTAGATGAGCAAAAAAGGGTCGTCGTGAAAGCAGGTACTAGTCCGAGGGAATACAAGGGTCGTCGTGAGAGCAGGTACAAAATCCGAGTTAATGCAAAAGGTCCAAAAGTATAAAAGAGTTCAAGCGCAGAAAACACCACGAAGCGAAAACAAAGATTCAACAGACAATGAGAGTTTATGAGACCACATACAATGACAAAACAAAAAATCCATAGATTACCATTGATAGATTGTTGTTTACAATAGAATTCCATTGTCTTTCGTGCTAATATTAAAATAATTTAATTTTAAGGCTTTTCAGAGCATCTCCAACTACTAATGAGCACGTAAGTAATCGCTAAGTCATGGATTTTGGTGACTTAGACTATGCTAAGCATTTGCTCAGCTTGAGCTAAGCATTATGACTATAAATTTCAACACACACTTAACTCGTGAGGTAAGTCTGAGCAAAGTCTAAGTACGCTTTATAAATTTCAGCCTTAGTATCTACTTCGACTGGGTCTACTTACCCAGTAACCCTGTATAACAAAAACTAATCGAACAAAAATATGCTGTGCCCTGTTTAGGCTATCTTCATAATTTGCTATTAAACTATTTTGATTGCTTTAGCCATACGACTTATTACTTACTTACTAAGATGTAACATGCTGTATAATTATTAGTTCAGAAATTAACGCGATCAATAGGTAGGTATTACATACTTTTAAATTGCTTACCTTAAAGTCAGCAGCCTCCCAAGCCACGGCCAATCAATCTGTAGGTCAATTCTCGTAAAAAAATGTTAAAAATTCACTATTCTATTATTGTACGCCAAAGGTTGATAGATACCTAATGATGATGATTTAATTGATAATTATAGGTATGCTTAAGGTATCTCAGACAACGAACGGGTGACAACGCCAAAGCGAAGGGGCGGGTCGTGAGATTACCCATGATAGAACTCTAGGTCTTCTATTGAACTGACGTGCGAAGGTAGATGCAACCCGGTCGAGGCTCGACAGCAGTAGAATACATTGTATTTATGACTAACTGAGATAAAACATATAAACCAATAAAGTAGACTTATACAATTCAGGCCCCGATCGTACTTGTAGCTCCATATTTTAATAGCGGACTGAAACTAAGTAAAACTAATTAAACCATCAACCCAGTTTTGGGGGACAAAGAATGTAAGTATTCTACGAAATAAAAAAGGAACCACTACCTACTTAAAATTAATCATACAATAGTATTTGATCAGAAGGTAGCCTCTTTAAAGTACCACTCTATTCTGTATAATATAGTTGGAGTTATTAAAATCACAACAATTGTCTCCTTTAAAGAAAAACTTTAGTTTCATTTGCTTTACATATCGTCAATTCTATAAATTTAATTTTCCCGCTTAACCTTAATTTTACTCATAGACAATGACTTAGGTGTTCAAATATTTTTATTGATAAAGCAAAATTTTGTTTATAAAATTTATTTCTTGCATACATTGTTATGACTTCGATATTTTTCAAATTACACTTTTACTTTTAACTTTATTAATTATTACAAGAGTTTGATGAAAAACGGAAAAATCAATTCAATATCGACAACTATAGACAATTTGTACATTTTTTCCGATTTTCAAATCAAATGGCCAAATCAATCGACAATCATGAAATGTTGTGTATGAGGTGCGTAAACAAGACTTATTTAATTTAATTTAAATGATTATCATTGTGGGTATTATGAAACAAAGTTGTATCAAAAAATATATAAAACCTTCTCTGTGTTTGTGTATTTATTTGTGCCTGTGAAACACAGCATTGTAAGGAAAACCTAATTCGTCTTAAATTGGTGAGTGCACCATTGTTTGCCATTTTTATGTATAATTATTTATTATCTTGTCCTGTGAAATAATTATTCTTAAGTGTTCTTTTAGTCCAAGTTCTTTTGGCTAATTTAATTATTTTTTTCTTTCTAGTTTACCTGTATGTGTATCGCATTCATAAATTGTTTTGATCTATTAAAAAAAAATCTGTGCAAAATAAAATATTATGGGCTTGATTATATTTTGTTTAGTTTCTTGTAGTTCTTATTTGTCATAGAAATCGGTTAAGTATTATGCATTTTTTATTTTATTTTTAGGTGAGTTTTTTTCTATTAGTGAAACTGTTGGATTTATTACTAACTATAAACTAAATGTAACAAAATTAAGCTTCAAACATTAAAACATATTTTATGTACAGAATAAACTTTATTTTTGTGCAATTATTAAATCGTATGTGGAATAGTACCAATAGTGGACTTTCATGAAGCATTTACACCTTAAGTTTATTCAAAATATACTTGAATGCATTTAAAGTATTAAGTTTTAAAATTTAATATAGGCCAACCATTTTGGTCTGAAAAGTCCTTAAAATTATAGTAATATCAAAATAAGCAATAAATTGTATGCAATCTCATGTGACCGAACTTCCAATCCCACGTGGATACTTGGTGCTCCACCGATGTGCATTTTTCAAGAACCTTTTTACCTCGCACAATCAATATGTGGAACAAATTGTGGTTTGTGGTATTTTCAGATCGAAACAACCTTTAAAAAGAGCACACTTCTACCTCAAACACTGATAATAAATACTCTTGTGGCACTTGATTTGTAGATGCCCTGGGTGGCAGTTCTCACTTTCCTTCAAGTCACTCAACTGTTTATTTCATCATCATCGCAGCCGAAAGACGTCCACTGCCTGACATAGGCCTCCCCAAAGTTTGCCACAATAACCATATGTCCAGCAATGAACTATTAAAGGCTGTTAATGACTAATAAAGATGAAATATTTATTTAAAAATTAAATATAATTAAATTACATTTTAGATAAGTATATAAATAAATTTTGACAAAATGATTTATTTGTTGCACTTAACAATATCATGACATGAATATTTTAATATTTATTGGAGACTGTTATCTTACTATCAGTGCCGCGCTAGCAGTGCAGACCCTTGCTTTTTAATTACAACTTGTCTCTTCATCCATGTTTTATTTCATACATAATAAGAAAAATGAAGATTTATTTTCTGATACATTCTTATCAGAAAATAAATCTTCATTTTTCTTTTTATGTATTTTAATAGTTATTCAGATATTTGGGGCAGAGAAAATGCAACAATTCAAAGATCATAAAAAATAGGTCCACTCATTCTTGAGAATATTGTAACTAACCCAACTTTGTTTTATTTATAAAGATTTTTTATTTTGTATCTACTTAAATCTATGAATTTCAATTTCAAGTAAGAGTTTAAAAAAGAGAGAATAAATCCTAATAACAGTTTACATAACAATTTAATACACCTGTTTTAGGTCTTGGCACCTGATATCTAACTGAAGATTGACCTGATGTACTTGTAGGTAGTGGACATATTCTGGCCAGACCTCTTGTATGATCAAATCCTTAGGAGGGTAGCTCTCATGCCCATTACCGGCTTGTGCCTTCACTATTTGTGCCTCTTCATTTGAGAAATGTAACATGCTTAATCAAAATAGAACTTGATGGATATGACCAGGAACAGTTGAAAGATATTAACTTCTTACAGCCATTATTATTGATGGGCCGTTGACCTAGTTGTTACTGACCCTGACTGCTGCACCAGAGCTTGTGGCTATGTCAGCAGTCTGAGTGCTATAGTACATACTGCCTTGTTTGCGATCAGATGGCTGATTGTGATGTTGCAAGTTATGACGTGTGGAGTTAATGCGTCCAGACACTAGCACAAAGTACTATGTTTTCAAAGCTGATGATTAACCAAATAACGCTTTCTGTTTGGCTGAAGTCATTAGTGAATCGGTTCAGAAAACCGGCGCATCTCCGACCACGTGCAGTGTACGTAGGGTTCCGTAGTTTATACCTGTTTGAAACAAGTAGGTAATAACTTCATGTACCTACGATATATTTCGTAGTTACCGAAGCCGCGACATCCATAGCTAGTAATGCTATGGATGTCGCGGATGCTAGAAACAATCTCATGATAAACGAAGTTCCACACGCTGTACAAGTGCATAAACAAGTGATTGGAATTTGACCTGAATATGCAACACTTAAGTAAGCTATTTGCATTGCACCATCACATGTTAATTAAAGCAATTAGTTAATGGATGCCCAGCTGTCCCAGGAGTACTGCTCGAGGATTACACGAGTTATGAGTTATGCATTCTTTACATACAGTAATTAAGAATAAATTTGTTAATACAACAAAGTAATTATTGAAAAAAAAAACGACTGCGTGAAGCTGTATCTATAGGCACTTAAAACAGGAGTAGGTCCTGGGGTGTTAAGCTGTTTTGTTGGATGCTGGTGTATCGGTAGGGGACAGTTTCAGTCTTCTCGGTTACCAGCGGCCTGCCCGAGCTAGATAAAACCCCAAGCGACACCTGGATAGGTCCACGCCGAGCTATCAGTGACACGGTCGGCACTTCGCACAGACCTCTGTGGTGTGAAGTTCGGGACGCCGTCTAGGGTACGGATCATGCTAAAGAAATATACACAAATACACTCGAAAAGGTGCTCCCGAGGATAAGGATAAACAAACAGACAGATAGACACATAAACAACGAAGTAGTACACTATTAGGGTTCCGTTATTCCTAACAGAGCCCTAAAAATCGTCACACCCACGCTCTCAATTGTTGCATATTAGTAACACACATTTATAATTCCGCATTCTCATCTCAGCAGTGACCTCGTGTCGTATGCATCACGTACCTACATAGGCGAGAAGTCTAGTTAAGATAAAGGCGATAATGTAAGAATGCAGTTTTATCTTGACGACATTCTGTCGATATCAGCTGTTTGCCGTTTGCCTGGTTAACTCTTAAGTTAAAGGTGAAGGCAGTTGTGTTCTATATTATAAGTAGGTACGTTGTTAAAAACGT